AGTGATGATTTCAAAACTGTGCTTCAATTGAAATGTTATCAGTAGTTCTATTTTTTCAATCTACCTGATTTCGTGACCAGGTCTTATTTATTGCTTTTCAAGTTGCCAGCATAGGCAGTTGTCAGAGCATCTGGTTTGCCCTTAATCAAATATTGTGTTCTCATTTACTCATGTCTTCAATGACTTCTGAGACCCACTTCTGAACTCCTATGTGATAAAGATGCAAGGATACAAACTCATCACTGGGTTACTCCTAAAAAAATAAAGACATTCAAGGCAGAGTGAGAAGGATGTTAACTTTTGAGGGGTGCAGAAACACAGAGGAAAAGCAAGAGACAGGATAGACTGATTTTATTAATGTAGGCACTGTCACCTGTTATCCTGCTAGTCTCTCTTTCCTACACAGAGTGTGCTCAGAAAACGTTATTTCATATATTAACTCACAGTTCTGCACCTCATATGAAGAAAATGAATGCTGCTTAAAGTGCAATAAATAGCTGTTTTTCATCATACAAGATGATTAAGAATTACCAAATATATGTCCTAAGCACAACTTATTTCTTCATTGCAGGCAAATTATTTGGAATTACAGAAGTCTTCAAGGGAGACAGAATCTACCAGGGCAGAGCCATGTGGACACAGTGGGGAGCAGAGCAGGCAACTAGTATGTGGGAAGCAGGGAAGAGTAGAAGGACTCACCAAATGTGCACAGCTGAAACAGGGGATCTTAAAAATCAAGCTGTTTACTTCAAATACTATACACAGAAATAATTTAGGTTAATATAGAAAACTGAAATAGTTTGCGCTTATGGAGCTTCCCTTTCCCGCTATGTATGTAAGAATAGTGAACAAAAGTCTAGACTCAGTAATGCTGCTAGGAACTTGCTCTGGATTGATGGGACTGGGATTTCCCCCCAGGCCTGCAGTTCTGAGACCTTCACAGAGTGCACTGAGACCTCTGACAATGCAGCAGAAAATAGCACCTAGTGCTCCCCTGATGCCACCTGAGCTGCCTCCAGGGAGATCCATGTGTCATTCACCCTGCTGGGATCTAGACAGCAGATGTTGCAGGGCTAAGGCAAGACACACGACAGCCATACATTCCCCATCATTAAAATCAGCCTGCTAGCCCTCCAACACCTTAGGAAAATAATATGTTAAGTTCCCCTTTGTCTGGCATTTGATCAGGTTAGATCTGAAAGCAGATTTACAGAGTAGCAGCTGGGGTCCTCTAGCTGAGTTTTTCATTCCAAAATGTGTTTTCTTTAGCTTCATCCTCCTGTCACTGCCCTCGGGAAGTTTTGCCATTGGGTGTAAAAGAGCAGGACTGGGTCCCCTTGTTTTTGCTTGTTCTGTTACAGGAGGCATTTTTAGACTATAGGTAGTAGCTGAGCCTTAAATGTAACTTAAATAGCAACTGTATAAGTGATCTCTGATGATGTTCCTGAAAATGAGTAATGGAGATGCTTTCACAACTGAGTGTAGCAATTAAATTAAGCAAATTGGTATTAGCCAACTTCATGTGTCCTCAGAGGTAACAAGTATTCATCGGCCTTCAGAACAGCTGTGGGCAAACAGCATTTTCTGGACACAGTGGTACAGATGCAAGCAGTTACACTCCAGACCTCCCATCTCACCTGCCAGTACAGATCTACAACCCCCATGTCCCCTTACCAAGGTTGGGGCTGATAAGCAAGTCCCCTGCAAGACCCCCTATGGGTCACCCTCAACGTCAGCCACCTGTAACAGATCAGTTGGAATGGGTATTTATGGTCAAACTGGAGGAGAAGACACAGCAGTAAAATCTACATCTGCGTGCACTCTTCAGCAATTTAAAAAGTGGTCACGTTTCCACCCACGTATTTTACAATATACAGGATAAGGTAATGAAGCAGGACAGGCTGCTTGGTCAGAGGAAAGGCAAGAACTGACAAAAGCAGCTTCCTGGCAGTAAAACTGGAATGGTGAACAGCATTTCTACTGAGGCAGAAGCCCTTCAACATTCTTGGTTCTTACACAAGGTCAATCTTTTGTTTTCTGCTGCTTTCTGGTGTGCTCATACACAAAGCTTTTGCCAATGCTTTAGTTTCCAGTTGTCTTTCAAGATATACAAATGGAACAAGTGCTTTCTTGATTGACCCCCTTAAAACTACAGCAGAAACAAACCTGACCCAGTAATTTCAAAACCTGAGCCCAGTTCCACCGTCTTCAGTCTTACTCACTGCTGTATCCTACAATCCCCCCCTTTTTTTTTTTTCCAAATCTGATTTTTCACCACCATCCAGGGAAGGGATTAAGAATTTTATTCCATAGCCACTGTTTTCATGGATGAACCAACATCCCAGTAAGCTTTACATGAAAAGGTGTGCCCTTTACCTAGGAACCTAGATGATCCACTACCTCTTGAGGGTGTTTAATTCTCAAGTGTTTGAAAGGGAAAAGTCAGTTTTCCTACCCAAGATTAATAATTTTAGCCCCTTTTTCCTCTGTGTAGAGGAGAAAAAAATTAAACGTGAAAGTTGACAAAAGTTCCCTTACATATCACTGAATAAGAACACCAAATCTAATAAAGTCTAATTGCACACAAAGTGACTCAGACTTTGACATTAGTAATGTCTGATTGTTATTAAGAGTCAAATCCAGATATAAGAATTGTAGTTCATTATCTTTCATAATCAGTTCTATTACCTTCATTGACCCTAGATATAAATGACTGGAGAAAAAGGTTGCACACAGGAAATATACCAAAGCAGAATAAAATAGATGACATGTAATGAGTACGTGGATGTTTGTGTTAGAATGAAGGGTCAACCCCACCTTAGTTTGCTATTGATATTTACATAAGCAGAGTAGATTAATTTCTGCCCAGGGAAGGGGAGAGAAGGGGGAAATCATTTGACTTGAAGAGGTCTGTGTAATGAATGAACTTGTGCTGTGAATACTAGAATGGAGAGAATTCTTCAGGCCAATTTTCCTATCTAGATGGCACAGTAGTAGTCTCTGCCTTCTTCCATTTGTTTTTGACCTCAGCAACCAATTAGGCCCTGAAGGGGTGTAAGAAAGGTTACTTTTCCAGGCCCTAAAATATTAACCTCTGTGTCCTGGCCAAATTCCAGGAGGTGATTACCTCCTGCAGCCCTAATTCCTCCCCAGAGGCTCATTGAGATCTAGCATCATTTTTGATGTGAGTTGGTACTGTGAATAACTAGGTCTCTTCTTGCAAGGTTATTGCTACCTTTCTGCTTCTTACCTCCAAATATATCTGCTCTGCCTTATCACTTGTACTTGTCTGAACAAGGACAGAATGGCTTAGTTCTGGATCACAGATTTTTCTGAAACGAAGAACCATGAATATGTACAGTGCTACAGTGATAATATCACCACTATATTACTTTTAGTCTCAAAACACATATGCAGTCTGGGTTGGCTATTCAAAAAATACATTTTTCCTCCACTCAGTCAATTATCTTTTTGTGACATATCACCTCATGCTAATCTTAAATAAAAATCAAGAGCATAATCCACAGCTACAGGGCATTTGAGTATAAAATCAACTGTCAATTTGCTTATAAAGCAAAACACTGCTTAAACATTAACTATGAACTATCATTAAATCAATAGCTTATTAACATCAAAAGCACACATATAGGCATATGACCTAACCATTTGTAAAATAAATCACTGCTAATTTCATTTAATTCCTACTTACTATTAATCTGAAATTCAAGATTTCTCATAAAAATGAGAACTACAAAAGTGAAGCAGCTCAGGTGTAACTGCCAATTTTACTAACTCCATAAAGCAGAAAGACCTGGATTCAGGATGGTTGCTTATCAAGTAATTTAAGCTAATGAGAAATATCAGCACTGAAATCACTGTGTACTAAGTACTTCCATTTAAAACAGAAACTACAGTCCCCCTCCTCAGATACAGTCACAGATAATATTGCAGTAAGGGTAGCCTAGTGGATTACTCTTATGGAGAAGCTACACAGATTCTAGCTGTGTGGATGTGAATTAATTGCTTAGTTCCAGTACTACAGGGTTAAGTGAGATGCTATCACAGTAATTTATTAGGAGGGATGGCGATGGCTTAGATTAAGCAGATTTGTATGTCTCTTCTAATTAAGGTTAGGTTCTTAAGAAGCTTTACTATCCCTTGAAGCTACACAGACTAAAATTAGTCCTGGTTCCATTTAAATTGTCACTAGGTTGGTCCATAATCCTGTGGTGACTGCAGTTCTTCCTCTGCTGTGACTCCTTGTCAGACAGCACAGAGCTCCAGGAAACAAAGCCTAAGCACTATCTATTAATCAGAAACAAGTTGATCCTGCAAAACTTTGTAATAGTCTCACAGTGACCCCTTGAAGACTACATAATAACTGGGAAACTGGCAAAAAAATCAGTTACTGGACAGTAAATACTATTACAGGGAGAGGAACAAAGCACAGCAGTAGGCGGGCTGTGTACAGAGAAGGAGCTGCTTTCAGGCTGCAGGTAAAGCTGCATTTTGAGCTATACCTAAGGACAACCTCCTAGCATCCTCAGAAGATGCTTTATAGACAACAACAGAGACACAAAGCAGTACATGGATCACTTCAGCTTCCTTCATTATGCCCCTGTTTACACAGCAGACAAAACCTTACAGAATTCACCACCCTAAGATAACAACAGCAAAAACAAACTAATTCCAGAAGCTTTTAGTCAAGTTGAAGCTTGGATTCAGTCCTCCTTACAGATGTTGCAGATCTAGAGCAGCTCTATTTAGATCAGTACACTACAAAAGTGCAGAATAGTGAAATCAGACCCATGTGTGAGTAACAGAACCTTCCTTGACAATATTTAGTAGGTTAAAACCTTTTGAGAAAAATAAGCCTTGAAACTTCAAGTGGTAGATCAGTCTCGAGTTGCCTGAGATTAAGCAGATACTTTCCCTAGAGACAGTAAATTCCTGTTTATTACAGAATATCCTCTTCTAAATCATCAGATGCAACATCTCACCTGATACAGGAGTGAATGAGCCAACATTTGCCAGTAGCCAGGTCTTGTGCTCCTGCTCACGTAGGGCAGTGTGCTGGGTACCACTGCATACTAGTCAGCAGCTGGCAAGAGGAATTATCTTTTAATCGGTTTCACCAAAACAAAGCAACTTTATAAATATATCAGTATGAATGAACCACAGGTTCCATGCCTTGGCTATTGGACCAACAAGATCTCTCAGTAAACTTAGTGAGAGTCTCCAAGCTTTTAGCTATTAGCCTGCTGAGCAATGACGAAAGGAAAAAAAAATCCCTTTGCTTGACTATGTTGATAGGCTTTTGTCATAGAGCACCTCTCGCTTTGACATTCCTTTTCTCTTAGGATACTTCCATATTCCTGGAGAAAAAAAGCCTACAGGACTACACTTTATCACTGTCTCACTTTTTTTTAATTGAAAAGAGTATCCAATTAAGGAAGAAAATAGATGTCCTACCATTCAGATGACCACTCAAAGTAAACAGTAGAACATTCAGGAAGGGTTTCCTGAGCAGAGGTGATTCATCCCACCCAATTTTACAATGGATCACAAAGGGAAAGTAAAAGAGAAGTAAAAGTGCTGGGAAAGACAACAGAAAGTCCTTTAGTTCAGCCCCTTTTCTTCCCTCTTGCTCAGGTTAAGACATGCATATACTGAGCCTAACTTCAGCAATTAAAGTGACAGGGTGCTGGCTCACAAAGGAATTTTTACTAGAAGGTTAGAGCTGTAGGCACTACAGTTTGCTTTGAACAACTGAGTCCCCTGTAACCTGCCCCACTGTGTTTTTTATTGCAGCAGGCATGAGCAGTTCCTGTGTGACACTGGCCGAGGTCCTGTGGGCAAAGGGGAGCCCTTTGGAGGAAGAAGACCTATGGGCACTCTTGTACCTGGCCACAGCACAGCTTCTCGAGGACCTTCACAAAGGTGGGATGAAAGCTGCCTTCTTACTTAGGAGTTTGCTGAGGAATCTTTGAGAGCTGTAGCTACTGGCCCCGCACGCAGACTGCTGCACCACAGAGAGCCTCACACCACAGTAGTGTGAGCTTTTTCCTAAACTGCATATCAGAAATGACTTCATCTAAGGATAACTGTAGATGGCAGAACGGGTTAGAGGAGTCCTTCTTAAAGTCCAAATAACATATAACCTCACAAAGTCCAGTGAGGGACAGGATCATATCCTTCATATACTGATAGAACAGGACAGACAAATCCACATGACTCCTCATTCAGCCAGCAGAAACTTTCAGGAGCAATGATAACAACAAAACCATGATAAATGCAACCACAGCACAAGCGAGTAACTTGTCAGGCTGCACTTGGAGAACTGCTTATGACAATGAATAATTCTTTTGAGGGAGCAATGCATGAGATGTATTCTTACATCATAAGGACATAAAATTAGAATATTAAATATTAAAAACAAGTGAAAACAATTTCTACTAGAGCTGCAGAGAGAAACAGGTTTTTATGGACTGGACCATTGTAGCAGGGTAAATAAACAGTTCTCCATGATCTAGTGATCATTTATAGGCCCTAAGAATGCATTAAAGAGTACACTATATAAAACATCCTCACCTGGATAGATTCAACTCAGACTAATCAAGGCTTATTAAGTTAGTTGCAGATGATAAACTTACCCTATGCTCTTCATAAGTTTAGGGCATCAAGATCAGAGGATAAAGAACAATGACAAGAAGTAGAGAAGGAGAACCAGGGGGCTTGTAGGTCTGAATTAAATAGCCAGGTAAGGCTGGAGGGCCCAGGTGAGGGCCATTAAGATTTAATAGTGTCATGAAGGTCCTAGCAGATTTGGGAGTCTACTTTTACCCTTGTAAGGTTTTTTTTTGTTTAAAGTCTTCTTTTTATTTCTTTCAGTTGTTCTGAGGTGCAGCTAGAAAGCTTGAATGTAAAACATGTCTGCTCTTGGTGTTCAACGAACTCATACAACAGCTTGGGATGTTGGATAGTTTTTCTATCTTCTAGCAGAAATGTTGCCAAAGTTCAGGGCAGTTGGAAAGGAAACACATACTAGATCATAGCTCTGGGACTTGTTTCTATGGCTAGCTCAGTTTCTGTTAGGCTGGTAGCCACTGTAGCCTCCTCTGCATCTGTTTCTTCACCTGTACAATGAGGACGAAAAGACAGGACTTTGTGGTAAAGTTACTCAGCTTTGCTAAACGAAATGAACTGAAAGAGAGATTTCTAAAGTGCTCATCTTACTGACTATAAACAGCACCTGGAAGAAAAAAATATCCCAAGGAGGAGATTTGTACCATGGTCATGCAATTTAATTAAAGCTCTTAATGGTCATGCAATTTAATTAAAACTCTTTTGTAAATGCCAGCTTCAGGGTATTCATATTTCACTGGAAGGAGCATTATGCTTTTCTGAGCTTTGCTTTTCTCTTAGCTTTGTATATAAAAGCCTAGTAAATATTACAAATTTAGATGTTAATTTAATTCAGAATCGCCATGTACAATGTGATTCTACCTTTTCTTAAGCTTCGTAAGTCCACTGAAGTTGGTATATTTTGTGTGTGTGTGAAATGATGTGACAGAGAGAACAGTTCTTTGACCATCACTGAACACCAGGGGAAAAAGCAGCCATGCACAATGCACACTGATTTCACTGACTCCTGAGTTTTTCTTCAGAAAACTCAAGTGATAGATTTGGCTATGTGGTTGAGATGCCAACAGTATTTTTTTTCTCAGCACAGTCAATGCAACAGTAACAACTCCATGGCTCTCTTTAATGTTTTTCAGATCCCACCATCTGGGTGATTTGCCCATGGTCAGTGCTACTGTCTGCTGAAGGAAGTCTGTCTTTCCAAAACCATGCATCTCAGTCAGAAGCTGTCCCTTTCAGTGCACCCGAATTGCTCCATGGGCCAAGTAAAAACAAGCACATTGGACTAACAAAGGTGAAGCACTTTAAAATAAATCAGGCGGGTACCTCAGGAAGACAAGCTCGTGGGTTTCAAAGTAGCAAAACCAGTGTCTGCTACCACCAAACCCCACTTCTGATCACACTAAGCAAACTAAGCCACAGTTAGAAAATTTTATACAGAATTAGAAGCCCGCTATTAGATTAGAATGAGCGTCAGCCCCAACAAGAACCTTGAATATAGTTCTCCGTATCTGCAGAAATGTGTTATTTGTAAAGGTCCCCAGAAGAAAAATGTTATGAACGTGAAATCTCCCAAGTTACGGCAATACCCATCCCAGAATCAGTGGGCGGAAATTCTCAGAGTAAATCAGAAATCAGTTCATTCTTTTTTTAATCATTTAGTTTTCTTCTCCCTATAAAATGAGTCCCTCTCGCAAGACAGCAAGACACTACCATCAAGCACTTAAAAGACTTAAATGCTGCTAGGACCACATTCCTTTATCCAAGCAGAAAACATCGTAGTTTCAGACTCTCACAGGATTGAGCACTTCACATGCTATGTGGAAACACAAAGCTTTGGAATAGAGAGCCCTTATTTCAGCAGTCCTCCCTCAGGACACACTCCTGCCAGTTCCCAGAGGCGGGTTACTGGTTTAATCCCCAAAGGGCTTCACACCTGCGACAGCGGCTCAACTTTTCTTTTCCTCCTCATGACCTCCTTGCACAGAAGGCAGCCTAGCCTAGCCGCTCACACCAAGCAATGCCCTTTGTATGCTATGTAGTCCTCACTCTATTTTTAGGTATGTTCTGTCTAGTCTTTTTTAAATATTTTTTTCTTAAAAAAAAATCAGTTTGGCTCCTGCCACTTTGTGGCTACAGACTGTCTCAGTCTCTCTAGCCAAAGAGGATTTTCCATAACTACTGTGTACTTCATCAAGGGCTTCCTTTTCTGTTCTGACAGATGTTGGTGTATTCCTTAGGAATGACCTGCTACTGGGCAGCAGACTATCAGGTTCCTCCAAACCAGGCCAGTAACATGAGCTTTTGTTTTCTTTCACTCTACTTCATATTAGCAGTTTCAAAGATTAAGAGATATAACCTAAAGTCTCAAGAAGAGGGTTTCTGCATTTGGACCACTAGATAGAACACTGTTAGTGGGAAATCTTGTGTCATGGTGAACGAAAGCTCTTATTCTGTGAAAACTCTACTATTGTCTCTGCTAACTGCAGTTTTGGATTTCTTGCTACTCAGACATTCGAAGATTTGTGGCATGTATTTTTCTTCATCTGTATATCCATGCCTTTGACTGACCATTTCTGATTTGGAAATCACTATCTTCTAGCATATACCCTCCCTTTCACGGTATACACAGTCTAAGGGAGAATAAGCTAACTGATTCCTAAAAATGTATCTGGTATCTAGGCCAACAGCTGGTGTAATTCCTGCATTTTTTGAGGCTAGCTCTAAAATATGTCTTGCTTGCACAGATCTCTGAGATGAACAGTCTCAGCAAAGCTGTGTTGCAGCCCGAGCTGAGGGCTATCACCAAGAAGCCCCATACACAGGCCGACAAGTCTCTGCACATACCAGTTCTTTCCAAGGCCACCCTCCATCCCAGGAGAGGTTCCATTCAGTGTTCCTTTGATGTCTGTGTGGAATCTTCCCAAATATATGGAAGTCAGAGCCCATCTCCCATCCAATGCAAAAGATTGTCAGAAATTCCTATTTACACAGGACATGAGACGAGTGAGATGTTATTTAACATTATGTCCATGTTGCCCCAGTCCCTCCAGCTGAGCGACCAACTACACAGTCTCTTGTTGACACTGTGTGAAGATCTGCCACACAGAAGACTTGCCCCTGAATCCATTCTGGAAGCATGTGAAGCACATCAGAAGGAATCCTATTCCTTACCAGCCAATGTCTACATAAGAAAAATGGCCCAGCTCGTGCTTGGAAGTGTCAGTGAGGTAGGTACTACTCTTACGCTCTAAGTATCTTCTTTTCTTTGATAAGAGAGATCAACAGTAACTTGTGATACAAGTGAGCAGTTGCCTAGAATTAATGCTTGTGTCAGTTAAGGAAGTGAGATTTGATTATAATCTAAGCAGTAAATTGCATGGGCCTGTGAAAAGTGAATGAGACAAGAAGCCATCTCAGACTATGCTTGCTCTTCCAGGGAACGATACCAGCACAGCTTTTGCACTCGCAGTATCCTCATTCTCTGAGTTAATGCTTAAACAACTCTAACCTTTAAAGAGACTTCATGATAGCCATTTTGTTAATGTGAGAAGATGAAGTCGCTTATATCAAGTAAAATAGCAGCCTTTGACAAGCCAAGGGCAAGGATCACCTCAGTATTAGGGTCTGAAGTTCACATATCATATGGCACTGACTTGCAGTCCCACTGGCTTCTAGGTAGAACGGGCAGTCACTGAAGACAGCGCAGCCTCCCAGCTCAACAGAAGCCACATGATAAGGAAAAGACTGCACGAAAAAGCACTGGACACCTCCGCGTCGTCCTCCCGCATGACTTTTCGCACAGGTAAGAAAAGACTTCTCATGTGAACTGTCTAATAAAGCTGCAAGGGTCTTTTCTGAGGCTTTCCCAAGCCAGGTGAATTGTTTCACTTCATGTTGTGACAATTATGTGTAGTTGTGAACACAACATTTACTGCTTTACAGAGAAATGACTTCACAGTGCCAAAACTTTGAGGCAAATCAGTTAAGATTTCTGTTCCTTATTTCCTCAAAGGACACCAGTCAGAAGCTGTGAAGCAGTAATGAATCAGTTTGCATAAAACCTGTATATAAAACAAAATTGTTTTTGTACTCTGTGTACCCAAGTGTATTTTCAAAGGTAAAAGTGGCCCCTGTGAAATTATGCTGTTTAAATATCATATATTCATTCTTCATATTTGATTATTCCAGCAAAATTCAGTGATTTCTCTTGGATATTTAGTTCTATTCCTCTATTCAAAAGATGCCTTATAAATTTACTCTTACATTGCTGGGGTCATTTTGAGAAACAAGGCCAAATCCCATCCACTATCTAAATTAAGTAGCCTACACTAATTTCACCTTTCAGTTTGGTAAGATGAAGATTTTATTAGTCCTCACACTGACTTTCTGATTGTACCGAAGTATGGTCTTCAGTTTCAGGTAAATTATTTTCTCTAGTTCTCTATATTGTGATGTACACTTCAACGAAAATCTGACCGGCAGGGTAGCTGACCTCTGGCCCAGGTCCTGCAGACTTTTTTTTTTGGACATGCATTAGGTACATAAGTAATCCAATCCTTCTCCAATCACAGATATGTTTTAGTAACTTCAGCTGGAATTATTCACATGCTTACAACTTTTCAACACTCCTATGGCCTGTAGAACATTTCTGTTAAGTACTATTAGTCATAAGAAAAGGAGATTCTTCTGAACATACGCAGAGAAAGCAGCTCTCAAGCAATACTGGCTCAGCCTCTCATTCAGAGATAGAGCTTGCAGATTCACACTGGTGTAAGCTGGTGAAAACTCGGCTGCTGCCCAAAGCAGGGGTCCCATATTCAGCTGCTTGTTGACCACACATTTCTGCTCTTTCCCTTGCAAGCCTTGTATCCCTTACAGATACTTGTAAGTATCTGTGGTCTCAGTGCTTTCTAGGGATTCCCGTCAAATGACTTATGCTTGCTTAAGATCTTTAATGAATCCATTTGTTGATTATGTTTAGAAGGAAGTGTGATTTTTTGAGGCAGACATTTCTAGGTAACACAGTCAAGTTGGGCTGCAACAGAAATGTGTATTTTTAATGATTTAGGATGCTGCCTCTCAAAGCAATTTCTGCAGCTGAATCAGTGGACTGCCTCTTGGCACCATATACCAAGCAAAATAATACATGCAGCTCAAAGTTTTAATCCTCATAATACACATTTCTAATACGTTTACATTTTGTAACCCTTCAGCTCTGCTGGTAAGATGCAATTAATATATTGGACTCCCTTCATTTGAACGGTCAATGAGAACTATGAGAGCTAGTTTGGGTCATAGTATGATTACGAGCAAGCAGAGCTGGCAGAATGAAGTTACCAGCCTTTCCTGGGTCTTTGCAGAACTGCAGTTAGGGTCTGAAGAAACAGCGACATGAACTAAATAAAAGGTAGTCAAGCCAAATGATATTTAAGTTACCATCTAAGTTACACTGATTTAAAATAAAAGTCAGTGATTTACCATTTCCATTTGTTTCCAGACAAAGGATCCAGATTAATGAACTACAGTCAGTCAACAGAAGATTACAGACAATTCTCTGTGGACTACAGTGACTCGAATAGCATTTCAGAAAGTACCTCTTTGATACTCTCTAACCAGGGACACAGAAGAGGTAAGGTTTCCCAGAAAAACAGTGGTCATAAATTACCAGCTCATTATTTTGTTACCTGAAATGTGAGACTACCCTCATATGGTCATGCAGTAGCTACTCCCAGGCTTATATCATTAGGGAGGTGCATTTGTGTGATGCTGTGGTGAAGAAAGATCCTTTTAAACTGGAACAGAGAAGTGAATCTTGATTTTTGTAACTATCCCTCACTATTCACCTTATCTTACAGTACCACATTCTGTCACTACCAAATTAGGAGGAACTAAAAGAGCTTGTTTGCTGTAGCACCATCTACAGCTTGAAAAAAAAATTCTTGATAGTTACGTATTTGTTGTTCTCTGCAGATTTTACTCATGTAAATGTAGATTCCCTAGGTTTTAAAATTTCAGTTGGTGGCTGGAATTTTTTTGTGCTGGAATATTTTTTGTGCTGGAATTCAAAGTGAGGTGTTAAGATGCAGTTCATGAACATATTTTTCTGACAATAAGATCTTTCTGAAAAAAATGTTAGTCTAACTGATTTCTTCCCCAGTAGCTCAACTTACTAACTCTATAATTTTGCCTACATAAATTTTGACAGGCAATTATTTAAATACAACAATGAAAGGATCCAAGCAAAGAAAAAATTAAGTACCTTCCTCCTTCTTTAAAGGCTTTAAAACAACTTTCCTGCTAGAAAAAATGTCCACGGAACTACATCTTGAATAACTATTTCTGGCTCTACCTCTGAGCTTCAGCTTTTGCACATTTAGAGCAAGAAATGTCTATCCCTTCTCTAGCAGCATAGCTGACTGAAGGTAAAAAGAAATTTTCAAGTTATTAAAAAAAAAAATTCAAGTCTGATTAGCTGGCGATTCAAAAAAAACCCTGTATTTATTTTTTTCTCTCTAGATTTTTATGATGTAGAAACTTTCACAAAATAATTAAGTACCAAATAACCTATGGAATATTTAGTTTTCATTTCAGTGATTTTATATCCTACTGTGATTAACCGTGGAAATCACATGACAATTTTTCTTGATTTTATGCCTGGAAACAGAAGAACAAGGAGCATCAAATATAATTTCTGAAGAGCAAAAGCTGTTTCACAACCCCCACACACGTATGGGAACTACAGATAGTGTACATATGTTGCTACTCTCCCACCTTTGTTCTTGCGAAGAGGGAATAACTACAGAACCGGGAATGCTGCTGCTGTAGCACTGACTTAGCACTACTCAGCAGCCATTTATGATGCCCAAAGAAACATGTGAGGGCAGAAATAGCCAGTCAAAATTTGCTCCCTGCGGCCCAAAATTTGGGCCCGGGGGGTAAGGCCAAGTGCTGCTACTGCTGCTTGCTTCAGTTGTGCTGTTTCCTGTCCTCATTTCAGGCCGAGTCCCACCGACGCACAGGTCATGGGATCCCACCCTCAGTGGGTCAAGGACACAAAGTAGCTACAAACTCTTCATAAACAGGTAATTGAAACGGGCATTCCTAAAAGACGGAAGCTTTTTTTATTACCTAGGGGCTAGGTAACAATAGGAGATGTAGAAAGGCCATGTCATTACAGGAAAACACCTGATCAACTTCTGAATCTGTCACCTATTGTCAGAGCAGACACTGTTTACGTAAAGCTAGGGAGCACCTAGACTCCATTTGGCCTCAAGGAAAACTGACCTAATGCTTCAGTGAGGGAAATGGAGCCTGGGCCATCAGCAGCTCCTTCAAAACACACGCACCAAAGGCTTCCATCTTCTTCCTCTTATCACTGTGTCCTGCCAGATGTCATGACCCTACAAAGCGCTGGCACAGCTATCGTGTTGCAGTCAAAATCAGACTGGTGAACACAAGGGCAGCTCACCTGGCTCACTGTGGCTACAATAGCTGAAAAGCAGCTCTCCAGGCAGCGTGGAAGGGAAAAATCTGAGCACAGGATTCCCACTGAGGGGGAGCGATAAGAATGTACGGACGGTCACTGCCATTATGGGCATGGCAATTTGCAGAGTCCATATTTGTCTACATTCTGATTTGGGGTCAGGGCCTGCATCTGCTACTGCTGTTACACTGCCTGAGATGTGACTTATTCTGGAGGGCTCTGGCAGACCATGTACATAATCCATAATATTCATTTCTATCCTAGTGCTTAAACTGATTTACCTCACTTACCTCAACCATTCCCAGCCCCGAACCACTAGTTTAACCAGGGACACAAGCAGTAAAACAGCCTGGTCTGTCACAAGGATTAGCCTCATTTCAGGCAGGGAAGTAACAGCAGCCCTGGGCACAGACAAAGGGCCCAGACACAGCCCTGGACACAACTGATGCCACCTTCTTCACAAAAGCCAAGTAAACTGAACTCCTGCCAAAGGAAAAACGTTGCCTTCAGTAGTAGCACAGTGCAGCTGGAATTGTACCTTTTTCCAGACTGCAATGAAATGTTAAGTACAGTTAGCTCTAGGCACCACAGAGGCCAGAACCTCACAGATAAACACCATGTAATCCCCACAGACATCGCATTTAAACTGAGTTCCTGACCCAGTTAAAGAGGAGTTTCTTCTTTTAACCATGACATGAGTAATTCGGGCCCACAGGAAGTGCTCCATTTAGATCAATTCCCAATTAAATGTGTCCCAAGTAAACTGTTTGAACTTCCTGATGAGGTGGCCACCATGAGACATACTGCAGTATACCTTGAAAATTCCCCAAAGAAACAATTGCAAGCAGAAGGCAGCTTTTCTGAAGAAATAACTATCACAAACACACACAAATATGCTTATATAGATATCTACATATGCACATACATATATGTATGTTTGTGCATGTACAGACATATACATAATCACCACAAAGCCAGCAGTAAGAGATGAGTAAGAGATTATCAGTATGAGAAACTTTATTTTATTTTATTTTATTTTATTTTATTTTATTTTATTTTATTTTATTTTATTTTATTTTATTTTATTTTATTCTATTCTATTCTATTCTATTCTATTCTATTCTATTCTATTCTATTCTATTCTGTTTTATCATGGGAAAATAAAATCTTCTTACTACAGAACCTTGGGTTTTCAGTTCATAACATTTTTATATCCACAAAAGTCAACTTATAGTCAATTCTGTGGTTACATTCATGGAAACAGGGATCCTCACCTATATTTATAGACAAAGGAAGACAAACTACTCCTGGAAGTTAACTTCTTTGTTAACTTCCTAGTAGCTTTTGAAACTCCCTGAATTTCCTGTAGCAACTTGGTAACATGCACAAGAGAAGACTGAAACTTCAGGATAACAAAAAAGCTTTCTTGTGAATTTGCAATCTCTTAAAAACACAAGCAACCAAAACCCATGTCAACAAAACCCTCCTATCTCTACTATATGATCGTTCTTTCCTCGCTGATGAGTATTTATTGTATTATAAGTTCATTTTAACTTTCATAAGTTCATACATTTGCTTACTCATTTGGAAAACACCATAACTTTACGGGTTGAAAGTACAGTGAAAACAGTTTTCTGAACTGTGCTCTCACACTAATCTTCCTCTCAATTAAACTGAAAATTCTCTCAGGTCTTAAAGATATTAATTTATTCTAACAAATCAGTATTCAATTGATTTAGATGTTGTTTTGGGTACACAACTGGACATACAGCTCATATGACATCTCCTCTACAGGTCAGTCAGTGCTGTAGAAGAAATCCCTAGTGCAGCTCAGAAGAGCAGCAAACACAACCTGCTGAGCTTGGGCTCCACCTTCTCTGTGTCTACAAAGGACTACACAGCAGCCACCACATCACAAAAATGTTTGTTCCAAAGGAAGGAGAAGGTAACTAATGAAAAGTATAACCTGATTTCAAAATGTAAATATCTCTAATGAAAAACTTCTCATCCAGTTATCAGCCACCAGTGACATGTACAGTGACTGTGGAGTCACGTCATTAGATGAGTCTCCTAAAATGACAGATTCCAAATCAGGCACAAGCCAGGTGTGATAAACAGCTCAGAACTGAAGGCAAGGAAAGCTCTTGTACATACAGAATGAGCTTAGGGTTGAACCCTCTGTGACCTACATGTGCAATTTCGGCAAACAGCAAACACCACAAGGAGTTTTTTGATCAAATACCTTGACAGGAACTGCAGCACAGCAAAGAAGGTTACAGAGAGCCTGAACCCAAACCCTTACTTGTCAATGATGATCAATGGTCTTATATTTGTTTTGCAGTGTGTATGCCACGATAGAAAGCACAGGGTGTGAGTGTGCCAAACCAGTGGTTCTCCTACTGGTCTATTTTTGACTGCTGAGTTGTTGAAGGACATTTTTGAGGTTTTCCTCTCTGTTAAATAGAAAGGAAAATGCTTCTTTGGCAGCGAGATCACAGGAACACAATCACAGATAACTCCACAGTGCAGCTCCCCCTGGTATGCCCTCTCTCGTGGAGGACAGAAGCGCCAGCTTTCAGGCTGCTGAGTACTTTCACCTGTGCCAAGTTCACGAGCTCACATGCACAGACACACACAGACCCTTTTGATATTTTATCTAGGCTACTTTTGTTTGCGTAATACTGCTGCAAACAACTCTGGCAGTCATATTTCTGTGGAGTGAGGAAAACCGCTTCTATTTTTAGTTTCTGTTTTCCAGGGCATTTTTTATGGCAGTTTTGCTCTTCAAACGCTCTCCCTCTCCAGTTTCAGCCAAGTGAATCATACTTGCATGCTCCCTTGCTGCTGCTCTCATTATCATTTCTATATTTCTCATCCATGCTCCTCTACATTCTCCAGTATTCACATTCTCTCCTGCCTCAAGACTCAGTATTGGCGAAACTTTAAAGACCAAGTGTTTCAGTTATTTGGATATCCTGAACTACTCTTTTCAGATACAGATCTTGTGTTAGTGTTTTTCATTGGAATAATTAGCTTCCTCAAAAGGAGTCCAACAAGTGTTAAAAGAAAGTGTATTCTGAAAGAATTAAGACCCTATAGGGCAAAGAGTGATTTCTTGGCTATTATTTTTAATATTTTTAATATTTTTAATATTTTTAATGTTTTTGATATTTTTAATACTAGGATCACCAATGGGTCCCACTAGTGCTAGGTTCTGTATGGCACAGGAAAGCTGTTGCGCTTCTTTGGCCATTTCTCTGCACCAGTTGTTTCTAAGATAAAGCAGCTCTACATCTATAGCTCTTTAATGCTATATGAAATGCTGCAATGGGTCATTTCTAAGCTCCCTCCTCCTCACCTGATGACCTTGTGCCAGGGACCACATGGAAAGGGGCACAGAACAAGCTCGCTCTGTTTTACTCCCACACTGGAAGAAATCTTCAGAATATATTTTATGACTTTCTAATTCCTCTTTATACCATTGCGGGGAATTGGAGGCAGATGCTGCAGGAGATAGGCTTTGGACATAATTATTTTAAGTCAGAGAAAGCTCACTATCAAAGTAGGGGTTTATATGTAAAAGAGAATATCGGAGAGGTGTGATAGGATCCTCTAGGGAAAATCCCTAGGGAAATCCCTGTGGGAAAGGACTTTTCCTCAGCACAGCTAAGGATGGATGCGCTGCTTTCTGTCATTCACCTGTGATTTTTAGATCCTTGAGTCAGACCGAAATGACTGCGGCAGAGAGAGGAACAGGTAACGATCTGCAAGTGGTAAGATGAGACAGCAGAGTAAAGGTTTACAGAGCACAGGGCCTTTGAGATTCTTCTATGGTGTGTGTTTTTTGTTTTGTTTTGTTTTCTAATTTTGCCTTTTTATTGCATCAGAAAAGTCTCTAATTTACTGTACTCTGTTCTGCAACTGCCAAAGCCTGGTCTTTAAATTATTGCTGCTCAAAATAGCAAGCTCTTCTTTATAGTGTGTCTTCCTGACATTTCTAACGCATGCTCCTGGCTTCTTTGAGAAGGTCTAGCTAAGATGCCTTTAATCATTCACTATTCACTGACATTTAACAATTCTGATACGTGACAGAATATCAGTGATTGGCTGCATGGTGTTCATCGTTTTGGTGAATTTTAGAAAGTTTCCTGTGCTGGATGTCTGCACCTATAAATTGTTTGGTGCTTCAAGATTTCTGTAGCATGAAAAGGAAGACAGTGCCCTATGACATTTGGAAGACAGAATCTTTTTCTGCTCACAGCTCTGTCACTAACTTACATGTTCTGCACATCAAACCATGCACTGACTGGGCAACTAGGCTTGGCATAACATTAAACCAGAGCCAGCATGTCCTGGGGAAGGCAGGCTAAATAATATTCTCCACAGGAATGGATGCTTGTTAAATCTCTAAATCTCATCCTCACAGTTCTCAGGTCCAGAATTTATTATCTTATCTAGTGAACCACCAGTGACCTTACAGCTGCCTGGATCAATTGTGGTAAGTCTGATTATTAAGAATGTAAAACTAATTTAGTGATCCTTAAGTTGGGGTTCTCTATAATTGCATCTGAATCCCACCCTAGGCTTCCTGCCATGTCCTCCTTCCAAGCCAAGTTAAGGTTCCTGCAGAGACAGTGAGATTCAAAGAGGAAATCCTTTAATTCTCAGAACTACATACCTTATCTGTATTGCTGAGATCAATGTAAAAAATAGTTTCATTTCTCTTTTTCACTTTAGCAAGTGAAAGGAGTCTCTTCACTTTCACTTTAGCAAGGCTTTTGAGAATAAGATTATGCAGCAAATATGCAAAGAGACATCTAGTGCCAATGTACTGTACTCCCCCAGTTTGTGGGCATATCCTCTGTTCCTCAGTAAGATAAAGTAGAAAGTTAACAACAAATAGCCATAGATATTAGGCTAAAGAAAATCTGGAAATACTCTTAAACCTAGAATGACCCTAGATCGTAGAAGCTGAGAATGCTCACCACAGAAATGGAAATGTTTGGGACATTATTTTATGATGTTTTATTAAGGGAAGCAAGGAACAACATAGTATTGTGAACAGCTCCAGCAGGTTGTGTAGGGACAGGAGGTTTGTGGATCTCAGTAAAAACTGCTGTGGAATTTCTGCTTGAACATGGCACTCATTCCTCACTCTTTGTTACATGTTCTTAGACTAAAAAAGGGAAATCCTATTTGTCCCAAAGGGATCTCAACGTGATTCTGCTCAACGGGCAGTGCCTTGAAGTGAAATGTGACATCAAGTCTAAGGCGCGAGATGTTTTCAACACGGTGGTGGCGTATGCAAACTTAGTGGAACATTTCTACTTTGGCTTGGCTTATCTAAAAGGTACTGAGATACGGCTAACTAATATCTAGAACTAACCCGTTCTCTTCTGACAGTGCCTCTGTAGTCACTTTATTAACGAATTTCTGTATGATCCTGATCTCCAGATGGAAAGAGATACAGAAGGTACATTGGTGTAACTGTACTGCAGTGATGTAAAGCGTGTCTACCCCGGGACCGTGATCCAGGCAACCAGCACAGCCACGCTGCTGCTGGCTGACACTCCCCTGCAGAAAAGGCTCTGCCCGGCTTTGCACTGGACTGATGCCAGGCCCCACTGTCCCAGCAGAAGTTCCAGGAAGGGCTGCTGTGACGCACACTGTCTCTGCTGTCTTTGTCACCTGCAAGTCACACATCTCCCTACCCCTTTTAGATGGCAAACATTTCCAAGGCAGCTGGGGGAAGCACGTGTCATGTACAGGGCACAAGGTTGCAGTGGGGCGCAGAATCTTAGTGGTAACCTGAATTTAAGTCCCTTGAATCCTGCCATATATGGCACCCAATCCAGCATCTAACAAAAATAATCCTAAATTAGATACTAAACTTTATCCTAAATTGTCTTTCAAAGAACAAGAAGTTAGCCCAAGGCACAGGGAAGTAGATCTCAACTGATATCCGTGATCTATTATTGCTTTATTGCTAGTGATGCACAGAATGTACGTAGCAGAGCTCTGAGCTGTGCTCAAAGTCCTTTGAGCGGAAGTATCTCCAGACTTATCACAGAACCCACAATTCTCATTTCAGGTAAAGAGTTTTTCTTTTTGGATGATGAGACCAAACTCTACAAAGTGGCTCCAGAGGGCTGGAATGACCAACCCAAGAAGAAAACCTCCATCATTAATTTCACGCTTTTTCTAAGGATAAAATTCTTTGTCAACCACTTTAATGTTATCCAGTAAGTGCACGTATTTTTTTCCTGACAGCAGGAAAATCAGTAGCATTTATGCTGAGCGTTCAGGGCTCCTGGCATCCTCCTAAACTTCCTTGTGTTCCAGGCACAGCTTGACAAGGCATCAGTTTTACCTGCAGCTTCGCAAAGATATTTTGGAAGAGCGACTATACTGTAATGATGAGACTGCACTGAAACTTGGTGCTTTGGCTTTACAGGCAGAGCTGGGCAATTATGTTTCTGAGGTATTGATAAATAATCATTTTTATTGCTTGCTTGTCATATGGAATTTAAAGAAACAATGTCAATAACACATAGCTTCAGCTAAATCATATAGTAGCTGTATTTCACATTTAATTTAAATAATTACAAAAATTTCCTTATTATGGAGCAATAATGAGATAAATGAATTTGGCAGGAAATTTGGTGGAATGGCACCTAGGGAAAGAATCTTGGTACTTTAGAGTTGATAACTTCAGCCAGAAAGAAAGATCTAAAATATCTGTAGAAAATTCCTAAAACAGACACAACTTTGAGGCTCAAGAGGAGCTCATAGAGATTAGAAAACACAGAAGAGAAAAATCATGGAATACTCTAGAATTCACAGAGGGTTTTGTGTATAGGCTCAGATCCATAAACTGTAAAGACAATGCTCCCTGATGGCCCATCTCCCAGTTGCAATTTGTACAGAAAAAAAAATCCACAATTCTCTGCATATCTTCCTTTATATAAATCCATGTAGCTCTATTAATTCTGAGTGGTGCAGCTTTATAATCAACCAAAATCTGATCCACCCTGGGATGGGTTTCCCGTTTTATTACTGGATGCTGCTGCGACCCTCAGCTGTAACCGCAAGGCTGCAGTCCTGCCTGCAGGCCCTCCCTGCTCCTCCTCTGCACAGGGGAGCGCTCCGGGCTCCAGGCTCTGGCTGCCCATGGCTGCACTAGATGCATTCAGCTGCTGGACACTCTCTGCTGCTCCCCATCTTCTCCCAGGAAATGTCAGCAGGAAATGACTTCTGTATATGGGTCACCCTTAAATGGAAATGAACCAATAAGAAAAGTGAAAAAAAAGAACAAAGTAAAAGCTGTTTTTCTTTCCCCTGAAGATGCACGGAAAGAGCTATTTTCGTGTTGAGGACTATGTTCCAACAAGCCGAATAGAGAAAATGACGCTGGCAAACGTACAGCGAGAGCTTGCTAAGCTGCATCGCATGAATCGTTCCCTCTTTGAGGATGAGGCTGAACTAGAATTTTTAAAGGTAACTCACCACTTTTTTCTTTTTTTTTCTTTTTCTTTTTTTTTTGTGTGGCAGCAAGTCCCTCTCTTTTTACTGTCTTCTACTAACTCCTTCTTGTTCAATACAAGATTTTAGATGTGATAACTTTGGATATTCCACCAGAAACGAAAATGTAATCTGCTGCACAGACTGTCAGCCTGAATACCAATATCACACACAGATATAGGGCTTCCTTTCATAAATAGTTCATGCAAATTTTCAATATGCTGAGGGTTAATTTGTATTTTCAGCATGCAACAGATGTGTTGTCTAGATTCTAGAGGATTATGAATACACTGATACACTGATTTAATGTACTAGAGACAATTGTAAAGCATGGGAATGACATCCTCTTGAGATCTGAAACTGTAGGAGCTGTTCAGCCATTTTCTAAACTAGCAGTATTTGTTATTTGATTAAAAATAATCTTAAATTGTGGAAGGAAGAAGGGAACTGTCTAAAATATTCTCCATGTATCTATACCTCTATGGTGTCATGATGATATGGGATTTATCCTTCTCCCTCAACCTTATTTTTCCTACTTTAGTAGGAAAATACCACGAATTAGAGAATGGATAAAAATCAATAACTGCATTTTGGCAGGTTTCCAAATTCAGCTAGTCAGTAGGAAGGCTCCAATTTTTGGGACCTGAAATTTTTACTGTGGATGTTTTCTGAAAAATAGATCTTCTTAAAGTATTTCAATTTGGTTGCTGAAAATCTTTATTTGTGGTTGAAAAGCTATTTTGAGTTCCTGCATTCGCTTCCAAGGGGGGAAAAAAAAAAAGCATTAGAGAAAATTCTTATTGATCTGTAGGTCACAAAAATGTCAGAAAATCATCTTCAAATTTGTTTGCTAAAGTTGGGTAAAGGACTGTGGGATCTAAGTAGCTGAGGAAGGAAGCTACTTGGCTTCCTTCCTGTTTGGATTTCCAGTTTGTCATTGCTGTTGTGGAAAGCAAACCACCTATAACCGTAGAGCTGAGGGTAGAGCTGGTGCCAAAGTATTAGCAGTCTTAGCAACATCAGCATACTTGCTGTACCTCATGTTTTTGGGGGAAACAAATACAGTACGGAAAATGGAAAGGAACAATGTTTAACATCAGTCAAGCAGCATTAATTCTGCATGCATTTCTATTTGGAAATCTGAACAAGAGCTGAGTAGCGGTAACACGGAACATTTCAGTGCCGCTATAATGTGCAAGAAACTGAATAATCCTGTTATGTCTTCAAAGAAGATGTCGGAGAAATGTTATTTTAACTTTACATATGTAAAATTAGTGCATGCAATGCACTAATGACACATCACGGTCAGGTAAGGCAGTAGGTGAGGCAGCAAAGATGAAAATCTGGTAAGAGTTTCCACATGTTTCTAGAGAGAGTGAAAGAATAATTTGTAGAGACACTCACAACCATTTCCCTTCCCATTTACCTTTCCTCCCACCTCTTACTGATTAATAAAATGTAAATTCCTTTTTTTTTGTTCTACAAAGGTGACCCAACAGCTCCCTGAATACGGCGTACTATTCTACCGAGTGTCCCAAGAGAAGAAAACAGCCGGAGGGGACATCATCCTGGGAATCTGTGCCAAAGGCATCATTGTATATGAGGTCAAAAATCACACAAGAATTGCCAGTTTAAGATTTCAGTGGCGTGAAACAGAGAGAATTTCAGCTCACGTGAGTTGGAAACACATGAATTTCTTTTCTCCTCTTAATACATTATTCCCTATCTGCCTGTCCAGCTTATAAATACTTTGCATTCAGAACAAAGAATTTAACTTGTCATATACAGACACATCTGTTTTGAAAGCAACTTCAACTCAATGCCGTATCTGGATGTGGATCCTGAGAATTCGAATTCCTAGTGATGTTCAGTGCAGGAGTTTTTGTCCATTTCCAAATGCTTAAGTCAAAATTATTACAAAACTGAGCAATACTGTGTTAACTGTTTCAGGGACTGCGCCAAACCTCTTTATGGTGTATTCCATACTCATTCCTCTCTCCTCTATACTTCTTTTTATTTTCTCCTGTGTTTTCCTTTTTACAACAGGCCATGGGATCATGTCTCTTTCTAGATTTCATTTTCCTAACCCCATCTTCTTGCAAGCTGATGTCTGTTCAGAAACCAATATTTGTGACAAGCTTACAAGCCCTCTAAGTAGTCTCCTGCAACAGAGACCCATCAGACAACTGCCAGAGTGTTCTTCACTCCCAGCCTGTTTTCTCTCCCAAAACAGCCCATTTGCCATTCATTTCATACTCATTTTCCTTTTCAGTTGTTTTATACATTTTAATATGTGCAGGACCAAGTTTTGCCAAACCTATTTACCTGCTCCCAATGTAGCCAATGTGCAAAGGCTCTTGACTTCAGCATAGGGCAGCTACGATGTGAACGGCAGGCACCTCACTCACAGAGGTTGATTTTCTGATATGCATTTTTGCATCCAAAAGGCAGGCAGGCAGCCAGGCATAAACACATCCATACAAACCACAAGGACTGTACAGAAGAAACTTTCAAGAGCCTCAGTATAATGACTGACGTGTTATTTGAAGCTCTGCGTTTTTTTTTCCCCTTCAGAGAAAAAAATTCATGATTGAAAGTAGCTTCAGTGGCAAGAAGCATACGTTCATTACAGACACGGCAAAGACTTGCAAATATTTACTGGACCTCTGTTCTGCCCAACACAAATTTAATGCACAGATGAATTCTAGGCAACTTCGGCAAGCTTCATCAGGTGAGTTATGAATGTACTTTTGTTACACAGGCCATAGACCAATGTTAGAGTTTAAAAGGGAGAGGAGAACTCGAAGAAGAAAAGTAGCCCTTAGTTAAACTCAGAACCAGAAGACCTGAGACATCAAGATCCTCTGAGACAAGAGTTCAACCCTATGGTTCAATCCCAGACCAAAGCCACTGAACCAAAGGCACACTGGTCACACTCACTGGATTACCTACATTTTAGCTGCTCTCCTCTTCCTCTGTGTTCTGCCACAGTTGCAGAAGTCCTGCCTACTACCTCCTTGGAGGTCAGATTTTTCATATTTTCTTTGCTGAGACACTGCTTGACCCAGGGCAGTTACATTGCTTTTCTCACCCACGGTCCTCAGCTTGCTCTGTAAAGATAGGTGAGGATCATTGTGGGGAAACTGAGGCACAAGCTGCAAGAAATAATGAATAATCTGCACCACTCGACTTCAGTAGAGCAACATGGGTTTCCATCAGCTGGAACAGAATCATGATCATCTGCATCCACTGAAGATTTGACACTGAGTCACAGTAGAACAGAACGCAAGTGTAAAGCCCATCCACGGGAATCCTTTCTTGCAGTAAAATTTTAAAATGGTGTCAATGAAGGAATATAATGGGATATAACATAGGATATATGATTAAAAGCTTGCCTTTTTCCGCTGAAGTTCTTTAACAAAAACAACAACCAAGTAATTTCTCCTGCACAAATTTGTTCCATAATGTGCTGCAATGACACTTAGGTTTTAAGGCACCCTTTTGTTAAGGCTTCTGTAGTTTCTAACAAAACTTAGTGGAACTGTGATTTGCAGCTTACAAATGAGTTCTAATAGTGAATTTTACAGTTCTATGAGCCACATTTGCTTGCAGTAATATTTCATGAAGTCACTGCATTCTAGATATAACAGGACAAAATGACTGAGGGCTAGGACAGTTATAACCCCTGTCCTGGTTACCAGTGCCTCAAATCCCTGAAAGTAGTCCGGCTTTCACAAGTCACGCGGCTGCAGGCTCTGAGGTTCGGGTTGTCCTGGAAAAACTGGCTTCCCAAAGGCAAGTGAAGGACCATAGTGTGTCCTCAGAGATACCTGTGTTGGAGTGGTGGCCTGTGAGGGGTAGGAAACCACCAACCTGGCTGATTCAGTCTCTGACAGACAGAACTTTCTCCATGCACTGAATTTCAACACAATATACATTTCAGAGAGAGTCCATATTTAAATTGTGCAGATCTCTACATTCTACCCGCTTTTGTGGAAAGTGAATTTGGAGTATAATTTACAGAAATGAAATCTAAATACAGAAAATACTTCCTCTGCAATAAAGGGATCGGAAACCAGACTCTCAAGCCAGGACTTGGATATCCTCAAGAATGCCAGAATATATCTGTGACATCAATCTTACTATTGGCATGTTGTAAAGGTTAGACAGAAAGCAGCTTTAAACTTAAAAAGACGGGATAATGTTGCTAGATTTATCTTTTCTTCCTTCACCAATTTCCCTTCTTATTCAGAGGACAGTAAATTTATGGAAATAGACAAATCAAGCTCTGCATATGCAGCTCAGCATGAACACCTTGCCCTGATTCAGAGACTGTCTCGATCTGAGAATGTGCTTTATGGGACAAACCTGGAAAACCTTTCTGCTGGGATGATGAGTAAATCTTGTGATAACCTCAGTGTGGAAATCAGCAACAGGACTAGAGACAAAAGTAATCTCGACAGGTAGGTTTGCTTTTTCTGTAAACAATACTCAGCTGCACACTACCTCACTGCAAATTTCTTTGATAAGCCGTGAGGTGCCAGAGATTTTTCTGTAGTATTTATTGGCACAGCAAAAGACCCAGTCAGGACTGGGCCTCCATTTGCCAACCACTGTGCAAGCACAGGCAGGAAGCTAACAATCTACCAGATAAGGAGTTGAAAAAGGATTTGGCATTTAAATCTGTATCAGACTCAGAAATGAACCACTTATTGGGATAGGGAGAAGGATAAAAATGGGGCAGCACAAAAGTGAAGTCTTTCATGTGTGCCCTAACGTGTACCTGCTCTGGAAGGCGCAGTACGGACATCGAATGTGGAGCAGGAGCTCTGCAAGGGTACAAACGTGTGCGGTCCCTGCTGGCTCTCACAGACTGAGGGCAGTGAGGGGCTCAACAGCACTGCTGGTTGGTTACTGTAACGTGTCTCCATCCCCCCTCTGCAGATCCACGTCAGGGCTCTCTCAGTCAGAAATGCACATCAATCTGAACGGCAAGCAAAGGAGTTATGACTACCTCTCCATCCACTCAACTCAGAACACAAGCAGTGGTGAGTATAATAACCATGAAAGAAGATGGTACTCCTCCATATTTACCGTTTCACTGCCAAAAATACCAAAATACGATTTATCTACAGATCAAAGTATAACCTTTTGCCACTTCTAGAATTAAGCCAGGGATTAGCAAGATAAGTTGTTTTCTTCTCTTTCATTCCTCCTTTCCATCAGGATCAATGGTTGAGGACTTGATGGCCAAGTTTTCCACCAGTGTTGCCTGATGTTCTTCAGAGAAGTAGTTCAGTATACCCAGTATAACTCTTGCACGGGCAATATCCTAGTGCTTGGAGGTCAGCACTTGGTTTACCTTTGAGATCCTCAACTCATTAAATGATGCAGAAGACAAAACATATTCTAGCTCTCTCCTCTGTGCTTCTATGTTCATCACACAATAACTGGGATAAGAAAAGCTACACACTACAAAAGCCATCATCACTATCAGTGCTGGGATCAGATGAGATTATAATTATGGAGCAAAAAAGTCTCTGTAGAGCCCTCAGAGACTAGGACAAGGACATGTTTCAAAGGAACATGTAAGAGATTTTGCATCCATATTCTGCTCATTTTCGATGGGTGCTAGGTGTCTAACTCTTTAAATAATCTATTCTTAACAAGATTAGATGTGTACTCTCCTCAAAATAGCAGACAGATCCAGTGCAACAAGCTCTAGGTGATCCTGCTTGTGCAGGGAGGTTAGACTAAATGATCTACAAAGGACTCTTCCAACCTCAGTGATTCTGGGATTCTGTGACAGAACATAGGAGGTGCTGAAACTGCTACTGTGCTTTCCTGTTCTATGTATATTTTATCTAAAGAAAGCTAATTTCCAAACACTTGCTTCAGCTTCCATCTGAAATGAAGTTCATTCAGGAGTAATGGTAATGTTGAAAATAAGGAGGAAATACTTTTTAAAACCCCAGTTGTACATATCCCATGAATCTCTTGCCTCTCTGCACTTATTTGCATTTATTCTAGCTGTTTTGTTTCTGCAGCACCTGGATCACCAGTCATTCAAAAGGAACTTTTGCTAAGTGGTCTAGAAAGAGAAATCATTTGTGTCACCCTAAAACGTGACGCCAAGAATGGCTTTGGTAAGTAAGGAGCATGAATGTGATGTCTGTTGTCAGATCTTGGTGCTAAGGCTGATCCTTGCTGATACAAGCTAAGCAAGACTGTATTTTCACCTCGTTTATTCTTGGCTTTGCAAAGGACAATGCAAAGTTTTGCTGCTGACTATTAATATAGTTTAACATCATATTTCAAAATGATGGTGATCTGAGTGGAAAGTCTTGATTACAAATTCTACTATTTACCAGTGAAAAAGACTTTTTTTTTTTTTTTTTTTTTTTTCAATATGTAGAGGATTATGGGATAGTATAGTGAAATTCAACTACTTTGAATTTCATTGAGTACTTCTTAAATAAGCATTACAATTCTCCATGGTCCATCTTAGGGGTCCTAGACTATATGATATAAAACAATGTCCTAACTTATCTAACGAGATTATAGACTGTGTTCCTCCTGTGTTACCACAATTTCTAAGGTTCACAGGTCCACACAGTTTATGCTTCTTGTACTAAAGTGGCTGGAATATTCTAAAGTTTCAACTCAGGAAAGTATTCTTATTGGAAAAAATATATATTTAAATACCAGTCACCATCATGTTAAAATTAAAATCTGAGTCTAAAATTCTTCCAAATCAGGAGTTAGATGCCATGTATACCAGAGCTCCCCATTATCTGGACCACACATAAAACGTATGTTACAGGAATAAGATGCTTTTGTTCTCCTAAGGTCCATCTTTCCTAATGCTGTCAGTGTCTTGGCTTTCTCATACTACCTTGTTTTTGCAGGTTTTATAATTATTGGAGGAGAAAATGTAGGAAAATTAGACCTTGGTATCTTTATCGCTTCAATTATTCCTGGGGGACCTGCAGACAGAGCCGGAAATATCAAACCAGGTCACTGTCCTCAGTTTTTCATTACAATTAAAATACTTTCATGTTTTAAAGTTAGCTATTTTGGGTTTATTTCCCTATTCTAATGTGTTTTGCCTTGTTTTTGTGCTTTTTTAAGGGGGACGACTCATATCTGTGAATAATATTAGTCTTGAGGGTGTTTCATTTAATACTGCTGTAAAAATTATACAGAATTCTCCTGATGAAGTGCAACTTATCATCTCTCAACCCAAAGGTATAAAGTCAAATATCTTCACTGACTGTGAAATACTAAGAATTAACTTTAGATACTGGTATTCATTAGACGTTGGGATGTACTTTCTTAAGAGCCCCTCAGTGCCAGTTACGAAAAGCAGAGGTTAGAAATGAGAACAGGCAACTGCTTGTGGGCACCATGTGAGTGCTGTCCTACACTCAGTGTGAAAAAACCTGATGTGTTATGGGCTTTATCTCGCACTGCTGAATGCAATAGGAATTTTGGCATTGTTTTTTATGATAGAAATAGCTCTGTAACACAGCTCTTAAACACTATTGCTGTCAGAGTCCTCTGCAGCAATAAAGGAAATTCCTTCTCCATACTTAAAACGGCAGTGCTCACTTTTATAATTACTAACTCATATGACAGATCCCAGATTTCACAACTAGTCTATATAGAAAGTTACTTTGTCCTCCAACACTGACATAATAATAAGTGCCTTCTTTTTTTTCATTTATTTGACTTCAGCAATGTTTCATTTTGCAGACATTTATGAAGAAGGATTAAATGAAGAAAAGTGTCTATCAAGAGGGAACAGCACTAGTGGATCTGAAATCTCCTGTGTAGACAATGGGAGAAGAAAGATTCAAGATTGTCATACTGCTCCCTCCAAAGAACAGGATATAAACATAGAGGAACTTGAGAAAGCTCTTTCCCGGAATTTAGCACCAAAATCGGGCCCCAAGATTCCAGTTCTTTCAGTTGACAACCTAGATGTGGAGGTAACACACATCTTGATGCTGTTTGTAATGCTATACTTGACATGTGTCTTAACAACACGGTTGCTGTACTAAGAGCAAAAAGTAGCTGAGAAAGTAAAAGAGAAAGAAGGAAGAAAAACTTGGAAGACGATGCTTGTTAAATTAATCTTGAAGTGTCAAAATGATATCCATGTCCAGAATGTGTAAAAATAGAAGGGAAATTGTTCCACATTTTCTTCCTTTTCCAGTGGAGCTATAAAATTTCATTCTTATTTGGAGCTATAAAATGATTGTTTTCTTGCAAGCTCAAGGATCTCAACCAGTACTTTTTCTGCTCGACTCTCTACTACTACTTACTCTCAGCTTATGCATATTGTGCCAAATTAGATTCTGAAGAACACTAGTGTGAGCTTGAAATAATGCCAGGGTACTTCAGCTACTCCAGGCTTTACACAGAGTATAGGATCAACCCCTTTATAATATATATATATATATATATATATATACACACACACATATAGATATATATGTATATATACTTTCCTTCACTGATGCTGTAGCCTCATTAATGTTTATATTCTCGAGACAGGAAGCTGACTCTTCGCAAGTACCATCTCTGGCTGAAACCCACTCAAATGATACCTATACTGTGGAGCTTGTCAAAGAAGACGGGACTTTTGGAATCAGTGTGACTGCAAGTGTTACTGTTAATCTTTCAATGTGTCCTTCAAACTGTTACATGAATAGAAATGAATAGGGATGTGTACATATCTGCAACAACTGAATGAAAAAAGGCATTAGCTGGAGCTTGTAGCATGGCATGTTTCAAATCAGTCTTTGAGCAACAGAGAAAGGGTGAAGTGGTGGCTCTACTCATTCCCCACTTAGTTTGAGACCAGGACCTAGCACTGAGAGCAGGGTTTGTCAGGGAGGACGAAGCCATGGCCTCCAGAACACGCAGTGACCAAAGAAACCCCTCTGGGGTGGCTGGTTTGGCCGTTGCGGGGGCAGGGGCAGCGCCGGCCCTGCCGCACGGGCCAGCAGCCGCCTGCAGCCGCAGGCCCGGCCTGTGGCAGCTCAGCCGGCTGTGCCAGCACAGCGCAAGCCGCGAGGACAAAGCCCAGCTCTGTGCGCTCCAGCTGTGCCAGGCCTCTTGCTCTGAAGGCCACGGAAAGGGCTTGGGACAATTTTACTTCTAATACTAGGAAACCCCGCTCTCCTTTCATTCAGAGGACCATAGAAGGCCACATTTGAAGACTATTTTTCTGTTCTGGCTATGGAGGTTGAATCCATCCCTTGAGGCTGAGGGGTCTTTTCAGTCATTGCTGAAATGGAGTGGGAAGCAACAACCATTTCAGTGCTTGTAGAAGAAATGGAGGGCTGTTATTTTCATCTGGAATTGTCCAAGGGATGCAGATGGACAGAATTATGTTCTTAGTCTGTAATTCCCCTGTGCTGGAGGTTCTTGGGTGGCTACAAGAGTTCAGGCCCACACTTCGTATACTGTTTGAAGGCTAATAATTGCTGAATGCAACTTGCATATTTGAGAAGCTGGGCTAAAGGTTGGCTTAAAGGGGTAAACGTGTCATTACATTAGCCTGGGGAAGTACTTACGAATGTTTTTTAAATATATAGCCATGTAGAAATGTACTGTGCTTTACTGAGAAAATAAAACCTGATTATGGTTTGGGGAAGAGAAGATGCTGGAGTTAACATCCTCTTCCATTTTTTTAATATATGTATATATATATATATAAAATATATATATATATAAAATATATATATATATTTAATTGTAATATCTAAAGCACTTGCAATGCATACCTAAGTTGCTTTGATTTTTATCACAGGAAGAACATGCGAAGTCTCCACTCTAAACTGTGCACGTATGTTTTGCAGGGTGGAATTAACACCAGTGTGCGTCACGGTGGGATATACGTGAAGTCAATTATTCCCGGGGGACCAGCAGATAAGGACGGACAAATAAAGATAGGTAACATACTTGACAATAAAACTTCAGGGTACAGAACTCAGTGTTAGGAAGTGCTTGTGATAGGACAAGGAAAGACATTTGGGACTGAACAGCCTACAACTCTGAAACATAAAATAGAGAGTCCTCTGCTCCTCAGCCTGCCAAAGCAGATCATTTAGATACCCCCTTGAAAAACACAAGAATCTCATGCCTATGTTGTATAGTTTCTCACCAGCTGCACATGAGGCTGGTGATGCTGAGGTATCTGCTTTCAGCACTGTTGTGATAACAAGACACTGTCACTGCACATATTCACAGACTATCTTGGTATGTATTGTTAGGTATATTGCACCCTAAGCAGGAACGTTTTTACATAAAATAACGTAATTTCCCATATGCAAGTGTGAAGTTCTAATGTACATGGATAGCTTGGGAGCAAAAACTCAATGAACATTAACACAATTTGCCTCTTCTGGCTTGTTTCAGGTGATCGCCTGCTGGAAGTGGATGGAATGAGCCTCTGTGGCGTCACGCACAAGCAGGCTGTGGAAAGGCTGAAGAAATCTGGTCAGGTTTGTGTAACGGCAGAGCCGAATGAGAGACCAGTGCAGCCAGGTGCGCTCGGTAGGAAGGACAGTAGCAGATCTGGACCAAAAGGCACCCCCTCCCCACACACCACGCTCACCTTCCTCCTAATGAAGAGCAAAATACTGTGCATTCTATAAATGGGACTTGTTTTCCCTTTTTAGATTGCCAAGCTTGTTCTTGAACGAGGACACAATCAACTGGCAGATCTGTGCCCGTCGGCTAAGGCCAAAAAGGAGGACCAAGGTGCGGTTGTTCCTGTGACAACATCCCTCACAGATGGTGGCAAGAACTACTCCTTTGTGACAGATGGTAAGGGATAAAAAAGGGGCTTCTACTGACTTTCTATGACTGTACTTCTTGCAATGTGCAAGAAAGGAATGAATGAATGTAATTCCATGAAATTTCTGTGAGTTGGAAGGAAAATTGCATATTGAGCAGACAAGACTATGGGTGGTATTAATGGCATCATCAAAAATTAATTCTTAACAAAATGTTTCTGAAGTACAGAGATAGATACAATTGGCTACAGCTGGCTGAGAGATCATCTCTGAATTTATTCTAAGCGTAAGTACTGCCTCTCTCAGCCCTGGTGAGATGGAGCTGGCATGGGCAGTCTCTTCCTCTGCTCTCATTCTTAAAGACATTCATTTGCTTAAAGGCATTCAGGATTCAGACATCTCTTCCACTGAATTTATTCAACAAATAAATGCTGCATCTCTTAGCGTGTGGCTGACCCATAGTCTGCCCATTCCTTCCTATGAGAAAGCTGCTGCTCTTCACTGTCCCTCTCATAACAAGAGTTTGGCTCCAAGCAGAGTATCTGGGAAAGGGCTGGTCCCGTGATCCTGTCTGGAAAAAGCAGTGGTTCTGCTTCTGGCATCTGCTGCTTTGTGTGCAGCACCTGAATTAACACCAGGCAGCTACACAATGCAGAGACCTCTGAATGTATACAGGGAAAAGTCTGAAAAGGAGAGTATTTGAACCTTTTTATGTCAGTACAGACTGCTTCTTCCCTTATGGGCTTGTGCCAGATGGTAGGAAGCCTGTGAACACATGGTGGAACAGAATCTGGTTCACACCACTCTGCCTATGTGCATTCTAGGGCTCCTGCAAGGCAAAGGAACACCACGACTCTATTTTATTGTTAGTGTGAGTAGATCTACCTCTGCAGTACACAGGGAAAGGGTCTGCTGAGGGTAAAATTCACATCACCACTTTAAGGGGTACATATGCCACACAACCCATTCTTTTTCCAATCCCTGCTTTGCCCAGAAAATATATTTGAAGTCAAATTGACAAAGAATTCGGGAGGCCTTGGCTTCAGTTTTCTGCAAATGGAAACAGATGCCTGTGAACACCTTGGAGGAGCCATCGTCAGGATCAAAAGACTCTTTCCAGGGCAGCCAGCTGAAGAGAATGGACAAATTGAAGTCGGAGACATCATTTTAGCTGTGAATGGGAAACCTATTCACGGGCTCCTGTATCAGGTACCAGGCTGCTATCAAGGGGCTTCCTGCCAAGTATCATATTAATTAAGTCTAAAAGCAGTTTCATCCCATTGTCTGTCTAATCACCAGAGGGGGCCGGGACTTGCTTATAATGAGTTTGATTTTTATGTTTTATTTCTCTGTAGAATCATTATGTAGAATCTCCTTCTTAGGAGAAGAAGATTTCTTTCATTACTTAATTTCCAACTTTCCACTAGTGATGCACTAAATCTGCTGGCAGACTTGCACACTTGCATCTTTCTTGTTCTTACATACAATTAAAACATTTTCCCCTATTGTCATGTATGCTCCATAAAGTCACACTAAATACCATGCCCCAGATTCTAAATTCCACCAGGTAAGGTAAATATAGAGTAATTTTTGCTGGAATGAGTCATTCTATATTTACCCTAAGATAATAATTCCAAACCTACCTCCTTTTTACCATTTATTTTTCTATCATGTTTTATTCAGGGGCACATAGGGTGATTTTGCCTATACAATTTTTTTTCTTCTAGATTAAATGTTTCTTCTATCACTACATCTGAAAGCCAAATGCATCTAAATAAACATTGCTTTCAGGGCGGTCTTTGATTTTTGGTTAAATCATTATGGCAATCTGATGGCTATGCTGATAATAACAGGCTAAAGATCTGTGCTTGACATATGCAGTTGGAATGTGTCTGTCTGACAACTCTGAGAAAACAGAAAACTGTAAAGCTAGTGGTGTATTTTTGGAACAGGAATTTATAAACAGGACTTATTTTACCTTAGATATACATCCACATAAATATTATGATCCACTAAGAGATAGTAACCATAGAACAGTGATTTTTAGCTCCCAGATCCTGCTGAGAGGCACAAAAACTATGAATTTAGCATTCACCTAAAAACCCTCCCCATCCCAGTTAGTAAGAAGGCGCCTGCTATAGATTGAGATCAAACATATTCTGCAAAAACACTAATATTCCTTCTCCCTGCCTAGGATGTCCTTCACTTGCTGAGAGGGGCTCCTCCGGAAGTGACACTTGTTCTCTGCAGACCACCGAAAGGAGTTCTTCCAGAAATAGAGCTGAGTGCCCTGGTAAGACCAACTTCCATCCTGAACTTGCTTCTGTTTCCCTTTTCTGGGAAACTGCTACTACTACACTTGTGAGCCAGCCTTGAATGAGACAGACTTCCCTTTTCTCCAGCATGCTCTGTTATATCCCTTTCTCTGCCTAGCTGCAATTTCATCTCTGGAGCTCAGCTGCTACTTCCTTAGCAAGCAGGGTCACAGGAAATGCCAGATAGGAATCACGGGGTATCCTAGTGCTACAGCTTCTGAACTGCACACTGGCACTGCAGGCAGCAGCACGCACCCAAGCAGATCTTGCAGGGATGCCGCCAAAATGCTCCACTGGATCTTACACCAGACACTCTCAACTGCAGCTCTGCATGCTGTAACCTGCAGGGTTGAGGAAGCAGCTCTGTGAAGGGAGATAAGGACCTTTTCCTACCCAGGCTGCCACTTAACTAAGTGAAATAATAGTTCCAAAGAGTTATTTACATTGCTACTGATAATTACAGAGTCAGAAAAAAAACAATATGAAGGCTGTAGAGAAAAAAGCACATTCTTTTATGGGTTTGATTACAAAAGTGACATTAGGTAGGCTAGCCATTATTATACCTGCTTTTTGAATGCAACTCACAGATGTGTGCACAAGGACTCCTGTCATGAACATCTTGCTCCATGCAGCGTGCATCACTTGTGGCTCCTGTCCCACCAGACTTCATAGTCTGTCTGCCATCCACAGGCAGACAGAAATAACTGTCAGAATGATTTCTAGAGAATAAAACTGGCTTCTCTTGCTTTCTTACAAGGTGCCAGGTACTATTGGGGTGGCTTGTTTGATTTCAGCAGAACGGAGGAGTTCAGCAGTCACTTCTACACACCAAACACAGTATAGACACAAGGTGGAGGCACAGTATGAACAGAAATGAAAAAGGGTCTCTGCTAGGGAAGGATTCACTACAAAAACATGAATTTGTGTGACAGTTCCCTGTTGGAAATTGTTGAAGAATGAGGAAGGCAACCACAAAGCCAATCTAATTAATAACTGAGCTAGGATCCCCCTCTGTTTCTTCCTTCTTTTCCTACTGTTTGATTTATCCATATTAAGATGCCTGTTGATATCTTCTATTATTTTGATAGACTCCAGCACCATCTCCAATTAAGGAATTTGTGGCCACTCCAGGGATAGGAAACAGTATGGATCAGTCTGCTAGTGAGGACAGCAGCACCTCTCCAGAACTGGAAGACTGCCTGGATTCTCCAGCGGCAGCAGATTTCAGTGAGCCGCCGGAGGAGGACAGCTCCGCTAATGAAGAACAAGAAGCGGAGGCTCGAGAGAAGCCCCTACAGGCCCTTATGCCTCCCAGGGAAAGCTGCTACAGGCACCTTTGGAAGTGTTATCGAGATGCTGCCAGTGCTGAAATGTTCCAGTCCCTAGAGGAAGAGGTGAGGCAGAACTGCTGCTCACCCCGTGAATGTGGATGGACCAAAAGGTAAGAAATACTGAACGCTGCTCTTTCCTTTGGCTCTCAAATTTCTGAACGTGGTTTGCTAACTTTTCAGATACAGAACTATCTGCTACTAAACTACTCCTAATTACTGAACATTTTGATTTACCAGTCTTTTCTGGCCAGCCTAACCACTGTCTCTATTCATTGGAACTGAGCGTAAATATGGATTACATTTGTATATTGCATCTGCACACACACATTTGTATGAGCACTCCATTACTGCAAGCAACTTTACTGTTCACCTGAGTCTGGCTGCAGTCTGAAATTAGTGAAAACACTCATGCTGACTTTCACAGACATCAAAGCGTTTCCTACTTATTATATGAACTTTTAATTTCAAAAATTTCAGAGGAAAAATGAGTGATAAGACGAGCTGTGATCAAGGAGGAAAAAAACAATCCAGCTCTCAGAAACCAGCAGAAGCCTCGAGCCAGACAAATTATACAATAATATATATTAGAGAGACTAAATCTCCTTTTACACTCCTTGGAAAACACTAGCCACTGGACAACAGCAGACCTAGCCATTCCATTTTAATGCTCTTTCCTATTATTATTTTCAGAACAGAAAGGGCTGCTGGAGAGACAAGCTAAAGCTCTTCCTTTATGAAGGACCAATTTCACTTATAGCTTTATTAATTTGCTCTAGAAACTTATTTCTATTTCTCCCCTAGTCACCTGAAGCCCCTTTGTGACTGCTGACATTCTCCAGCACAAGGTCCAGTCATGGATCCTGGTCTCTGGGGAGCCACAGAGCTCGGTGACAGCAAGTCGAGTGGGAGCACAACTGCCTCCTGCTTCCATCCTGCTTCTCTAATGCTGCGATTAACCCCCCAGTATTTCGGCCATAGCAAACATGTGCACTGAGGGACCCTGCTGCATCAAACTGAGTTCCTGGGGGGAAATATCCGTTTCGAAGAAAAATTTTGGATTCTTCCCAAGAAGTTCTGAAATAAACATTTTTGTTTGGCATATTCTCAGTATAACTTAATTTCAGCTTTTGCCTTTTCAAAAGGCAGTTTCACAAAATATGCACTTGAAATAGTATTTTGATACTACTATCGCATCTCAAATGATCCTTCTGGTTAGAATAGGTAAATAAATAAAAGCAGAAGGCAATAGGCATTGATGAAAAAAATATCCCTTCTACATTCCTACAAATTGTTGAAAACTCACGCAAATACAGAAATCTTCTGATATAAATTTCAAAAATTTTGTATTCAGTGTTTTACAATCCTCTTTGCCCTTTTGCTCATTGCAACCAGAAAGAAATTTAAGAAAACATAGATTTGATAGTGTTACCCCATAAGAAGTCCTGGGAAGGGGTATACCAGGGAAGTCCAGGTATCGGGGGCACCAGACAAGGTCTTCGTGGAGCTTGTGCAGGGGCCCACGGGACCAAGACCCACATCTTCCCCCTGGAGAGGCAGCGCTGGGCTAGCCGCTGCCGCCTGTGCTGTGACAAAGCCCCTGTTTGGCTCCTTGCCTTGAGGCAGTGCACGTTGTCCCAGACCTCCCACAGCCTGGAAGGCTGCTCAGCACCTCCCTGGCACGTGATCGTTTCCCTGCCATCCTCACTACAGGAGGTCCACTGAGCTGGTCTTTTATTTTCCCTTGTTTTCTAAAGAAAATAATAAACAACATTTGCTGTTATCCTTAAACATTTCACTTAACCATCCTCATACTCTTCCACAGTAAGTATCTGTTATCCTGTTTAGCAATGTTTCAATTAAGATTGATATAATGCAGACAGACACTTTTAAGTAAAATGTGTTTCAAGCATTTCTATTGGCTTTAATGGTAAGTTCAATAGCTATAATAATAACAATTAACTAAAGACAATGGCCAAAACATAACATTAAACAGAACGCCGATTACACGGTCTGGACTTGATCTTCAGAAATGCTGAATACTGTCACCAATATAGTTGGATAAGTTAAATAATAATTTTACTATAAGTGAGGGAACAAATCCATTCTTTTCAGTAGGACAACTCTTATGCTCCAAGTTAAGCATATGTTTTCATGCACTGTTGACCAAGCATCTAAGTGCTAGGTGCCTCCCTATATTTTGCTGGCTTCATTAACTTTATTAACTTTAGTGTAATACGAAAACTGAAACCACAGTAAAGCAGACAAGGATACCAGAAAAGCAGACCTATGTGCACGGAAGCCAGCTTTTATGAAAACTGGAAAGGAAAAACTAGGACTCCCTAAACAAGTGGCTTAGATGTCTCGAAAACTGAGTTTCAGCTGTTCTCATCTGGGATCAATATAGGCATATTGGAGTGCATATGGTCTTTGTATTTGAATTTTTTTTTTAAAGGAATATTAAGAGAAGGGTATAATAAAAGCAGCCTTCCAAGGGAATTTAAGACTTGAAAAATTAAATAATTCCTATCTCTTGATAACATACATTTTGCGATCTGTGCTCTTAGTTACCATGGCAAGAACGACAGCAGCCAGGAATGTGGCTGGCTTCCCTTTTATCAAGAAGAAAAGGCAATTATGAAAACGGAGGGAATATTGTAATGTTCATACCACTTACCAGATAAGTTAATTAAATTGTTTATGGCAGATGGAAGAATTTATACTAGCAGTCTAAGAATTGTCCAATAATGATTTTCAAACAACAAGGTACTAATGCCTTAAAAAAGTATGAAACACTTTGCAAAGACCCTTTTCAAATTCTGAAATCTTTTTATCTTTTTACTAGCAATGCAAAGTATTACTTTTGAATTTATTTTACAGTAACACTCAGAAGATTCAATCAGCAGCTTAATACCATAACTATTGCTTTGTTAAAATTCAAGGTTATGCATAAGCAGTAGAGATTTCAGCAGGCAGGCAGTGAAACACGTGGAAGGAAAGCCCAGCCCTGCAATCTTTTTATTTTGCAGCCCTGTATTTAATAAGAGTGATGATGACCTATCCAAAACAAATCGCATGCCTGAAATTCTCTCTCTAACCCCTATTGATGAAGAGTATCTCACCATCAGCTCAACGTCTGCGGCCTCGCTTTCCCGGGGAGGAAGCGCTGAGACACTGTCCTCAACCACGGCCACCCCACACGCACGTGGCCCTTTCTCCTCCTCCCCACCTGCTAGAGGGCCAGGTGACAGTGACAACGAATGGGAAGAGCTGGAGGAGCAGCTGAAGGCAGAGGAGGAGGACTGCTCTCGGGTATGTAGATAGGCACCAAAATATTAATAGGCCACTCATAATGGGGGAAGAAACAACCTAAGCATGGTGGTTCTTAGAAACATCAATTATAGCCCATTTACCGTCTGATTTTTGCACAGCTTTTCTTATTTTCCTGCAAAGTCCAACATGGGAGTAAAGCAAACCTTTCTCTGTGCCCAGCCCTGCAGAGCTCTCTACCATTTCCCCAGAGTCACCTCCCTGCGGAGCTTTGGCCATCCAGATGTTCTTCAACTCTCGAGCACTCTGCAGTCCTGTTCACAGCACATAAGGGCCCAAACCCCGTCCTCCTCTCTAGTAACCTCTGATATTAATTGAAGTCCCTTTTTTTTTTTTTTCTTGTTTTAAACCCATGTGCGAAATCACGCTGTTAAAATGATATCATTGTAATGTTCTGATAATCCCTGTACTAATTACAATTCAAAATACTGGGTTCAGTCCTGCCAAAAAACTGAACATTTTCCATTTCTGCTGCACAAATGAGATCTCGATTCCTACTAATGGGGGAACACTGAGGGCAAAATTTATATCCTGACCATTTCCCCCAGTGGAAAAGCAACAGCAATAACACCTCCTCGTTTATTGTAATACTTGTCAGCCTAGAAGATCCCAAGACTTTCTCTATACATTTTAAACATCCCACATGGCTTTCTGTGCCCTGTTAGGCCCTATCAATCAATCAATCAATCAATCACCTTGAAGGTCCACTAGGTATAAGAAAGAAAAATGAATTCAGGAATTACCAGAGTGAAAATTCAGAAGGATCCTTGCATATGCTGCTGCCTTTTACTATGTGCAGATCTGATTCCAATTTGCATATAAAACATAATGAAAGATGCTAATAAAGCAACAGAAAAGCCTACATGAAGCACATCTTTCTCTTCACTTGATAGGAAATGGAGGTCTTTGTGACCCTGAGAAGGTCAGAGAACGGTGGTTATGGATTCTCAGTGGTTTTCAACAAACTGGACAACTGCCTGTATGTTGATGAGATCTTGAATGATCCTGCCCTGTCTGATGGAAGACTGAGAAGAGGAGACAGAATCATTATGGTAGAGTCATCTTCTGAATTTAAAAGGAGACAAAAATATTGGCAGATCATTGCCATCTGACTTAAGTATTTTTTATTTTTATCATTGCAGGATCTAATTTATCACCAGCTATACATGTAAATGCAGATGAATCATTCTACTAATCTCAGTAGGATGAGTTCCAAATTGAAGGGCTTGTATGCCTAGGAATACAACAGAGATCTAGCAACAATGCAAGACAACTGGCACAGTAACTGCCTTCCCATTTAAATTAAATAAGTCAAATTAATGTAATAAGGCAGACCTAAAAGGATGCAGGAATTTGCATCCTTTGCAAAGGGTCTTTCGTAATATATGAACACAATCTATTTTAAGGTTCACTCTCCATTTGTTTCATCAAGACTTATCTCCCTGGTTTTTTGCTATGGGATTTTAAAATTCAAGAAAAAGAAAGGTATACATTTATGCAAACAGGACACTCAGGAAAACAAAATTCAAAAATTAAATATACTCTTAACTGTTGCATTCACTGTCATTAACTGCCATAGAAAAGTAATCACACTAAAGTGAAAACTACTTCTAAGTTCACATTTCACAGTATATTTTTGCAGAGCATGTTGGGGACATGTATCTGATGGTCAATGACATCTATGACGTGACTGTCATGGTTTGTCGTTTAGGTGAATGGAGTTGATGTCACCCTATTACCATGCAGTGAAGTCCTGGCTTTACTACACAGCTCTCCTCCTGATCTGCACCTAACAGTTGGCCGTGCTGATAGTGATCCATGTCCCTCCGTCAGGCTGGATGAGATTCCTGAAATTACCCTTACAAAAGGTGCCAATGGACAACTAGGTGCGTGGTAAATATGCATTTTTTTTCTTAGATCGGGATTGTCACTGGAGTTATGCCTATACTGAGAGGTCCCCATAGGATGAATATCTTGGTATTTCTACATAATGCTGCAAGTGCTGGACACAGATAAAATCATATACCCAAGATACAGTACAGCTGTTAGTACAGCAGGAGTAACAGGCAACAGCAGCCTGCTTCCATTTGAGACACTGGCTTGCTTGGAGACAGCACGAGTAGCAGTGCACAGGACTGCTCTGCGCAGTGCAGCCACCCCCTGAGCTCTCCTGAACAACAGAATTAATAGAGTTTCCCTACATTACAGGTGTCTGAGGAGAAATACTCTAAAGATTACAAGGCACTTAGATTCCGCAGTATTGAGGGGGGCATTTCCAAGCAAGTAAGAGCCCTTTCCAAATGGCTCTTCAAGAGCAGGTGAAATAAAGTGCTATGAAACAGCTGTAATGTTCAGATGGACAAGATGGACAGTACCGCTTGCTTTTTTTTCCTTTTTTTTTTTTTTTTTTTAACACCTAATTGCATTTCACTCTTCCAGACACAACTCTAGTAGGTGATCTCTGGATCCAAACTGGTGCCAAATTGGCCCTAATGTTGGTGTCTTGTTCAGCCCATCCTTCAAAGACCCCTGTCTGTCCATTAGTCGGTACCTCCCTGACAGTGACATTCAGAGCACCCCACCACAAAGATGCTTTGTCTGCATTACTCTAGGCTTGAAGCTGACAGGAGGAGCTGGAAGCAAGTTACAAGGTATCTACGTGCTGGAGATAGTGCCTGGCTCTCCGGCCAGCGTGGAGGGCAGCCTGCAGCCCCGGGACCAGATTCTGTACATCTGCGGCCTGTGGACTGAGGGCATCAGCCTGGATGAGGCTGTGAGAGTGTGTGAAGCTGCCACGCAGAGCGTCCGCATCAAGGCAACAAGGTAAATCTGCCCCTCGGGTCCCTTTAGAAAGGAAAGGGTAAGGGCTAAAAAAAAAAGTATGTAACTTTATGTTTAGGATGGAATCAGATCATAGGGAATTGCAATCTTAGCTCTAATACAGATCTCTAACTTGTATATCTACAAGGCAAACAAGAAAAACTCTGTACTGCAAGGGTCCAAAGGTTGTGACCTGATGGGTAGCATCCACAAGGCACCTTATCTCCTTGTAATTATAGCAAACACACAAGGATATGGGCATAGGTGCACTCGTACAGCAGGAACAAGTACCCTCAAGCTTCATCCTGCATCATCCTGCATCGGTAACTGCAAGGCAGGCCACTATTTTCAGACATCCTGTTCCCTAGGAACGGGAAATCCTCTGCTTTGTATTTCTGTCTCTAGTTCCAAACACCTCCACATGCTTTTAGATTCACAGTTATAGGCAAGCAACTACCTCTCTCTGGAAAATGAGGTATTTCCAACAACCACCATTTGAGAAAGGTGTTGAAATGCACATTCCATCTGCAGCACGTAAAGCAAAGTTCATCCCCAGGTTAATTACCACCCGCAATTAAGGATTTCCCTCTGCACTTCTTGAATGCACTTTGCTTTTGTTTCACAGGCTAACAGAGTACCAGCAGAGGTTCTGATATAGAAATAGCTTCTGCAGATCTTACACAACCAGTCAAATAGTAATGCCAGAGCACACAAATGGCTAAATTACATAAGCAGAGTTAGCCACGGTGTCCCTGTCACAGCAAGCTTCAAGTAATTCAACAAACTTCCATCGGTGTTTTATTAACTTCTTGCACTGCGGAGCAGCGGGAGGAACTGCAGCCTCCTTATGCTTATTGCTGTATAAGCACTTAGTAGACAACAGACCCTAATCTTAAGAATTTGCAATTTAAGGACACAGACAGAAAAAGAGTAAAGGAAATTACAAATTCTTATGCACATTTAATAGAGGAGAAAATGAAGGTGAACTCAACAAAATAGACTTAAATGCAGTTTTGTGCTGGGGCACATGGTGTGAAGTGTTCTTTCTTCTCAAACTTTGATAATCAAAATGTATTATTGGTGGTAAAAATAGATAAATATTTCCTATACTGAAATAACTGCACTTTAAAATAGCATAATTAAGAATGATAAAATAATGGAAGTACAAAGATGCTTTTCAGAAGTATTTTTCCTATGTACTTAACAAAGCATGCAATGGTTCAAATACTTCACTTTCTTCTGCCCCCAGAAATGGCAATCCAGTTGTTCCCATAGAGCAGGAAAATAGTAAGTAATGCTAATATTTTTATTCTTGAGTTCAAACTTGCTTCTCATTTTGGAAATAAATACATGGCATTGATTTGTTGCATTAAAAAAGTTACTAACAGGCTACAACTTGGCATTTGGTATTTCTGTTCTATAACAGATTTGAAAAAACTTAGCTAGATCTACAGCTAGTTTACAGATAGAAAATGTGGAATGCTTTAAAAAATTGTTCACTTAATTTTAATCCATTTGCATCTTTTATAGTTGCCTTTTTTTCTAATTTGTTGCCTTAAATGGGAGTTTTATGTGTGCATATTTTCATGGCCTGTTTTGATTAAAACTAATCTGTAAGGGATTTTTTTTTAGTATTTTTGAATCATACTTTTAATACTTCACCACTACTTGATCACTTAGGCCAAATTTTTAAACTGATATCAACACATCTAGAGAAAATCACAGGCAGTACCGATATTTCTTAATTAAAATAGCATTTCTTAATTAAAATAGCATTACTATCAATGCTCATGTGTGTGCTTGCACATACATACATATATATATGCGTACATATATACACACATATACATTTCTCAAGACATTTCCAAAACAGGTTGCCAGCCACCATCTACCTGTGATGCAATTTCATTAATAGCACAATAGTGCAGCACCCTGCCTTTCTTTCTCATTTATAATAAAGAATTCTTGCCTTTGTGAATTACTTCAAAGGTCTATTGTAGTTTGTGCTTGGTGCTGCTCTCTCTGCTATTAACTCTGACAAATTTATCTAAAAATCTGTAAAAAAAATGCCCATTATGGAGGGAGGCATGCTTTCACTTTGCATATTCTCTTAGTTACAAAAATGTAAATTAAAAGTGCAGCTACAATAAGGAGGTCTTTTTTATATACTAACTATAGAATGTTCACTGTTTTCTATAATTCATAGATTGGAAGTTCTTTGTGATAGATAAATAAGATAAATGACAATGCAAAACTCAAAACTGGAAAAAAAAAGTATTTTGGCTTCTCACACACCCATCCCCGTGAGCACTAATACACCCCATTTCTTCCCCTATTTAATCAGTACCTCATGTCTATAAGGATTCAGTCTAGCTTTTGAGTGTTGTCATAATTCGGAAAACCAGCAGTGACTGAGATACAAGTATCTCTGCAGTTCTTGAAATAATTGTTTATATGGATGCACAAATAGGGAAACTTAACCATGTGTAACCATGTCTTGTACTGCTTTTGTACTGGATGTGTTGAGAAAACATGATCCTTGGTTCTTTGCTTTATACAAGTTTAAGTTCCCTGGGGTATATGTAGCTTCGTGGAATGTCTGTCAGTTAAAAACAGTTAAAATATATGTTCTTAGGGTCGCTTGTGGAGACGGAAAAAGACAGTGTCTCTCTGTCAAATGAAAACCTGAATCCACAAGAAGAGCATCCACCCGAGCAGCATGGTAAGGACTTTATTTTGCATTTCTGAAATAGCATTTGTAAAATTTTGTGCCATCTCTTCAAAAGAAAATAATGTCTGCAGGTGGTACTGCCAGTTCATGGAAAAGATTAATTATTAATAAGCAAAACTGTCTTCCTTGATATATCACAGAACATTCATATGTTACCTATTGTCCAGCTGGAGTCGTTGATCCTAATTTTGGAAACTGGCTTTTGAGAAGCATAAGGTCAGATAAGATGCAGAAAGCTCGGCTCACAGTCTCATGGTCCAGGAGTGGATCAAGTCTTTTTGCATTCTTTTAAATGTCAAATATGCAATATTTTATAATGTCTGTATTATGATTGAATGCTACAATATAAAACATTTTTCCAGTACACCTGGATAAAAACTCTCGCTGCTTTTTCATAGAGAAACATCTGGAGGAAGCCAATTCTGGTGATGAGCAAAACACTTCGGATTCCCCAGAGCACAGAGTAAGTGACAGTGTAGCCAACTGTGAGACGGCCCATCAACTAAAGTGATCTAGATGGATCTGTAGTAGTATTTAACTAGCAATAGTAGTAAATGGTTTAGAATTTAATATATTTCCTTCTATTTTGGAAATGTGGACAGAATACATTTGTGGGGCATCTTGTCACGTTTGGAATTGGCTCAGTATTCATGAATTACAACATGCTGAGCAATTTCTGGGGTCAGACCATCCTACTGCTGTTTTCAATAATATAATATCACTATCTCACCAGCTTGGTAATATAAGCAAGACTCATATGACCTAACTCCTCTCTTAGGTCTTAATGTAACTCTTAGTAGCTTATAAAATCAAGCCCTAACTTATAAAGAAAGCAGTACAGAAAATATAAAGCCTAAGGCATAACGGCACAAAATGGGATTCTAGAAAAGAAGTGTAACTGCAATTATAACTTATTTTCACAACAAAGCCAAACAATCCTTGAAACTTCTCAAAATTCTCATATGGGGCATTTGAAGAAAGGTAAAATGATTCCAAAACTTTACAGTATTACACAATGTTTACATAAATCAAAATGGTTGGAGTTTACAATTATTATTATGTAATGGTGTGATGGTACTTTTGAAGTGATGGATTCCCAAAATACACAATACTATTCAAAAAAAAAAAAAAAAACAGCTTTCACACTCAACATACAATTCAAGTTTCTTACAGGTGCAAAATTACGTTATTTGTCAATGAACAGACACAAATATATGGAAAGGAATATTCAAATTGAAACTTCATGACAACATTTCCTATGTAACATTTTCCTTTTGATATATACATGCAGCTGCTCTGTTAATCACTGGAATCTCTACCTCTCCATTCAAGACAAGAAAGTATCCTATAATTTACATCAGTCAGTGAGGACTGTGAAGCATACTGGGATTTGGGGGGATTAAAAATACAAATAAAACACAGCTCTGAATAAGCTCCACTTTAAATTGTGTCCTTTGTGTTATAGGACTTTATCATTAAGATTGAATTGGAAAAAGCAGAAAATGGGAGCCTAGGATTTGCACTGGTCGGTGGAAGAAATGGCAGGGCTATCCTAATAAAAGCCATCAGCCCAGACAGCATTGCAGATCTAGATGGGAGGCTCCAAGTTGGTGACATCTTGCTGAAGGTAATGTTTGTTCTTCATTGTTTTGGGACATCTTTAACTACAGTGGCTCTGCAGTGAGTGCTCCATTCAGGATGAAGATTGTACAGACTAAAGATAGGAGGCTGCTTGACCCAGGGACATGCAGAAGAAAGGGTCCTAGACTCTTGGCAGTGAGAATGATGTTCTGGGAGACTTCTGCTGCCCTGCTTTTTTTTTTTTTTGTGAAAATTTTCCATGTGGGAATTAGGGGAATGACAGCTAGCTGACTGTAACATGCATACAAAGCAGACCAACAGGACAATGGTAGTGACACTACTAGTCAGGTAGTATCAAGGCAGTCTAAAAGCACACGGATTAGGGCTTGTGAAGCTTCTTTTTTAATCTTTCTGTACCAGCAAACTTTTAATGGCAAATCATGTTTTGTACCCCACATTATTTTTTCCTTTCTCCTATCTCCCACTTCAAGAGGTTCACTCTTTTACTGTTGTCTTCTATTTTTCATTTGCTTCCTTGTCTCCTACTTGTGCCATCTGAGGAGTGGAGGGAAATGATGCCCTCGAAATGTGCCAGAAAGCACAGACTACACTTCTGTTGTGCACTGCTGGCAATTATGGTATAGAAACAGAGCAGAGAGGATCAAGTGAATTACTAAAATGGAAGAGAGTGAGAGGAATCGTAGAGACGTACAGCATATGCTCAGTGCTATGTCACAGCCTTCTGCTACAAGAATCTGGAGCGGCCCCTCGTCGTGTTTTTCAGGTGAACGAGACGTTCGTGTCTGGTCTGCCACGGCAAGCTGTTATAGATCTGCTTCGCCAGGCTCGAGGCACGGTGCAGCTCACAGTGTGCCGCAGCACGGCCCTGCGCTGGGCCAGCTCGGGCAACCGGAGCAGCAGCCCACCTTGCCCCCGCGCCGCGGCGGCCCAGCCTGGTAAGTAGCTGTCCCCACTCAGGACATGTTGAAGGGGGGATCGTGTGATGCCCGGCCTCAGTTTTCCCATCAGCAAAACAATTTAGTTTCCCTAACTTTACAGTCATGCCTAATTCATAGCTGTTAATATAAGCAAGTTTTCATCCTGCTTTGTAGCACTGGCCAGGTAAGACACAGAGCACAGGGAATGCCAGGAGTGTTGGAATGGTGGAGATAAGGTGGTGGGACCTTCATAGGCACCTTAACTTGGCTTGTGTTTTTAGCCCATGATCGTTCCTGCTCTGCCCCAACTTACCTAGTTCTGTAGAATCTACTGATAAAAAATAACATCCACTTCCTGACCCAGCAGCTAAAATCCATTTCCCTTACCTCCATGGAGCCCTGCGACTTGTAATCCTCCCCAGCCAAGAGCTCCTCTCCCTTTCTTAACAGCTCATGCTCCTACCCTGTGCAATGACCACTGGAGAGCCCCTTGCTTTGCTCAAGAGCAGGGTTTTTCCAAAAGAAGAGATGTACAAATTGGGCTGGGAGAGATGCTGAGATGCCAAGAGGGTTGTCATGAGGAGCTGGGGAGAAGGCGTAGGACAAGTGGGGGTTCTGGTAGACAAACTAGGACTGTCAGTAAGTCAGAAAAGGCCATGTCCTCAGGGTTACCTTGAATCTGAAGTAACGGAAGGGAGCAGTGTATTTAACTTTTCCTCCCTCTTTCTCAGTGATTTGCAATTGACTTTTCAATCAGTCTTTTATTTCTGTAAGGCTGAAGGAACTGTGTTCAGCTCTGGCTGGGAAGGGAAAGGTTCACTTCCCCATCCCAGCTCCCATTTCATTTTTTGCATAAATGAGGCAGAAGACGAAAGGCAGATAGGTATAAGAAGACTCACTCATTTCTTCCTCCACTGAAGGGTTTGGCAAAACATTCACCAGCTTTGGTGAGACCAGGCTTCCCTCCTGGTGCGCAAATTTGAAGGACTAGTAGAAGAACATTTGTTGGATTGTTGCATGATGTTGGTGAAACAGAGAGTTGCTGGGGAGCTCCATCTGATTTCCTGAATCTGTAAAACCCAATGTAATTAAGCAAGGATCGGCATGAAAGGAAAGCTCTGCTATTTGTCTCTCATCAACGCAGAGGAATGGTCTGGATACGGAAGGGCAGACTTAAATTCTGTTAGGGATCATTTTACAACCTCTACTTATGCAGGCAGCTACGTCAGTGCATCTTCTTGCTACCTGAATTGTATTGGCTTCCTAAAGGGCACTATATATCTGCCAGCTATGCTTTTCAGCTCCTCCCAGAGCAACCAGGAAAGGAACATTTTCCTCTAGCTTCTGTTTCTGTACCTCAGTTCCTCTTCAGAGACCAAAGTTCCTTGGCATTGGCTACCCAGAAGAAATGGAGCTATATTTTCATGTTTTTGAGATATTTTACTTTGTTTTTTTTTTTTTTTTTTCATATTCAGATGACCCCAGCACTGAGGGAAGCACAGGAGCTCGGCCTGTTTCCCCTTTCAAAGAAGCACAGGAATGTGACCAGCTGGGCAGCCAGGTAAGTGCTGGATGGGACTTCTAGGCATCACCGGGCCCTGCGCTCGTGCCTGTTGACACAGAGGGTTTGGCGCCATGCGGGCAGGTGACCTCAGAGTGCCACCTTGTTCATGACAAAAAGAGAAACTTGCGGGAAGTGTCACTGGGGCTGGTAACGCGCCAGTGCGTCAGGGATTCCACTGAGACAAGAGCTCATGATGAGCGCAGTATCGGTGCTGAATGAGGGGTGCTCAAAGGAAAGCTGCACAAGCAATGCCAGCTCTAGTGCTGTATAATTTGGGCATGAAGGACAGGTCAGTTTTGTCATTCCTTTAGTATTTCAAAACATAATATACTTCAGAGGAATGCTGTTCACCTGTCTTCCTCTTAATACATAACACTAAGGCTATTATCTGTCTTTCAGTTGGGTTATGTTTTTAAATCCTGGCAAGTCCTCCAAAACATTCCACATTCATTTCACAGCATCTGTCCTTTCTGAGGTATACAACTGGAAAATCTCTCCTCAGAAAATCTGATAAATGTAAATCTTTCTAATCTCAAGAGCTAAAAGGTGTCCCAAACCCTGTCGGAAGCAATTTTCATGGAACTAAAGGGAAAACAGAAGGAATCCTTGTACTGAATAAGTTAGGAAAACCTTTAAGAGAAATCTAATGAGAAAGTTTTCAGTGTGTAGTTAGGATGAATGTTGGAAATAAACTGCTAGAGACTGATAAAATACAGTATCAAACCTAGGTTATATCTAGGATCTAATAAAGAGAAGAAATAAGATTAAGGAGAAGTGAGAGTTTCTGCTAAGGTTTCAGGTTCCTTATTACACTCCAGTGCTAGCAAGCTATTAATCACCTGCTGAAAAATAAATGGAGAAGTCCATCTGGTCCAGAAAAGGATAGTCCTAACTTCAGGCTCATGCTTAAATTTTTGCTGAATTAGTTTCTTAAAAGCCTCTGTTCTTCATTATTTTCAGCTTGCCTTTAGCACTGTCTCCTATGAACAGGAACTATTTGCAGTCCACTGCAAACATGGAGTCTTTGAAAATAACAAGATACCAAATAAAAATAAAAAAAGAACAGATACATAAAAGCAGCAGTAAAATTTCTTTCCCTCCCAGAAAAGAAAACAAAACCCCACTGATTCTCCAATCATCTCCATGCTGAAAACTGGCTAAATGAATTTGTGGTTAAATATGCACACACAAATTATTCTAATGGAGAAATATAAAGATGAAAGTTAGAAAATAAGGTACAAGTGACAGCTACTGTAATGATTCTTTGGATCATTCAATAGTTTATACGGTGTAACGTGCTAAAGTGGTTTTCGGAACGCATCTGAAATATTAAGTAGGGAAAGAAGATGATGATGAACTCCAGTCTGAACTAAAATTTAAATAATTGTCTGTCAAGTGTTACAGTTCCGCAGGGGCCACTTCCAGACAGTGAAGGCAGATGTTCTGCCTCATAATATAAATGCAGAATCCAGTTATCATTGTCTAGTACTGAAGAACAGCCACCAGTGCTACTGCCTCTACTCCACCTGGAGGGCAATCAAGCATCTGCCTCCTCCATGGCATTTTTCTTCTGCAAGCAGCTGCAGTCTGCTTCTAACAGCTGGCATCCTTGTGTCAGGGATAAAAAAAGAAATCATTGCCAGCACTTCTGGCTCCAACACTGCTGCTTGCTGCTGCCAAGAGCTGGGAGGTAAAGAGCAGACTGTGGATCATGACTCCTGTGTCTGCACTTTCCTTATGAGATCAGCAAGGACGTAATTAACACCAACCTTTCCCAGTTCACCCGTGCGTGCCAGCCTGTACAGAGGCTTTGGGAGACCGTGTTGTTACGGAGCTCACAGATACGGCTGCTGGGCCTTTATACTCATCCTGCAATGCTGAATCAGTTCTGTACTTTTCTTCTGAAAGTGGAAATTTTACTTTCTATCTTCCCTTCCTTTCATTTTGATGAAGAATATATTTTTGGTAAATAATAAGACTACTGATGAAAGTAATTATATTATTTATGTTTCTTTTTTACTATTTTTTTCCACACATTTTTGTTACCTACAAATACCTACAGGATTCCAAAAGCACACACAGATCCCTTCAAAGTCAGCCAGAACATCAGGATATTGCCATCAAGAATTCAGATGGGTAAGTCCTTCAAACACAGGAAAAATTATCAAAATATGACAGGACAGGTTACCATATGGATAGGTTCCAGATCTCTCCCTCTATGATACACAAACGCACTCAGATGTCCCAAATTATTTAAACACAATTCTATCAAAATGCAGTTCCATCTGCAAAAAGAGCTGCCAAACAACTTTCATGCAACAACTAAGAGATGTGATAAAAACTCTTTAAGCATACCTATATACAAATTCCCTTGTTTTCTTAATAGTCTTACTGGCCTCATTCTCTGGGGCACTAACAGCATTCTGCTCCCACTAATGCCACTTGTAGCATTAACTTCTAGTCTGGAACTTACCAGGCTAGACTACACACTTACCTGGAAATCTTCCCTAACTTACTTGCATAGAGAGTTTGAAAGAAGCCCTGGGAGCATTTGGAAGTGACAACATCCACATGAACATGGGCTCAGTGCCGCTAGCTATTTCCTCATCATTAATACAAAATTATCTTCATCTATACCAGGTAATAAGGTATGATTACTATTAAATTATCTTGCTCTATTTGATGTAAACAAATGTATGTATTGTTAGCTCCAGCTAACCTGAACTTGCACAACCTTCAACAGCTACTGACATTTGCCAAGCTGCTACTTGCTCCCTTCTTTTATTCTCCCTCTTTTTTTTTCTACTTCTTGCATTATGTATTATAATTGACACTATGTAGGATAGGATTATATAAGACTGTAATACACTCAAGCCTTCTAAAAGAGTTAAGTGCAAATGTTACCTGTGCAGAGTACTGGATTTGGCTGGCACAGGCAGATCTGACCTATTCTGTACACACTACAGCTGTATTCTGGACTGCAGACCTGCTTTCTACCAAGAACATTTTTTATTATGTTTGCAAATACTACCCCAGAGAAAAAGATGAAATTAATCCTTGAGCTTATGTTCTTCCAAGTTCACAACAATTCTTGAAAACAATTGTTCAAGAAACTAAAAAGCAATTGAAAAGAGATTAAAACCAAAACTCTTGGACAGGCCAGACTAGCACTATTTATGCCACTTCTAGCATAATTATTCATCTAACCTTGTTTTACAGATGTGCAGGATGTAAAAGCTGTACAAGAAGGGAAAGTCAGCAGTCGGAGTCAGAGAACTGGACCAGTGAAGAGAATGAAACACCCTGCAGGATTTCCTTTCTACACAGAAGTATATTTGCTAAAACTTATTTCCCTAATGTAACAGGCCAGGCCCTCAGTACATGTACAGTGAGATGAACACTAATCCCTCCTCTACAAGCAAAGAATCTGGTCTGAATATGGTCTTTATGTCTTAACTTTGGCCATGTGGAAGAACTTACAGTGGCAATTCCTAACAGTATGGTGTGACAAGACTGTTTTTAGTAGGAAAATTGTTAGAATCATGAAAGTGATTTACTACAAAGATGTGGTGAGAGTCTCCTACACAAACTGATGTTAAAACTCACAATTTTGTAAGAACATTTCATTCAGAGGAGACTATTTTGAATCTGTGTAAGGGCAGAAGTTCCAGCAGTTGAATCCATTTTCAAATCTCAAGAAACTTGATGTTGTCTGGATACATGGTACTGAGTTCTTCTTCTCCTGGTGAACCTAAGTCCCATATATTTTCTGCTTCATTGCCATAGTATAAGTAAAAAAATTGTATCGAAGTTTCATTCATTGTACTGAACTGTACTTTTTTTAAATCCAAGGCTATATTCTATGAATAATAATCAGCAAAAGCTCTTCTGTTCTTTTTGTTAATGCACAGGCAGAACTTCTGTTTCTGAAGATGGACCAGCTCAGTTAATTAACTTTAAATCCTCAATGACTGGAGTAGGTCCAAGGACTGGCATCAAAGGTCTTATTCAAGGTCTTCAGCTGCAGATTGAGAACCAAGAGGTCTTTAAAGAGTTTATGGTAAAGTGTGATTTCTTTTTAAGATGTGAGTATTTAGCAAAGTGATTTTTATTAGCTTTCTACTTGTATGGGAGATCTATTTCTCTATCTACACTGTTTCCACCTTTTCAGAGAATTATTCCAGCTAGAATGTGGCTTCTGCTTTGTGTTTTCTAGTGAATGTTACATTTGGATCTCTCTCATTACACACAGGTCTGGCTTGCATTGTTTCTTGTCCAAAGTTCCTCCTATAATTAACCTTTCTTGCATAGATCACCTTTTCTCAGTTCTCCCTGTGTTCTGTCGAACTTAAGCCTAAGAAGTGTTGCAGGGCAGAGCAAAAAAGATTAACTACTACTATCTATATATATTCTTTTTTATATATCATATATATAATCTATATTATCTATATTAACTACATTAACTATAGATTAACTATTTCTCTAGGCTTTAGAAAATGTAAAACCAATAGATGACTGCAGAACTGGCAAAGCACCAGAAAACCGTGACAAAAACAGATACCGAGATATTCTTCCATGTAAGTATGCACACTAATGAGACACACACACAAATTCAGAGGATGAAGACATGGGAAATCAAAAGAAATGGTTCTAAAACTGAGTTGTAGGAGGCAAATCTAATGCATCCTGAATCACGAACAGCGCCACTAATAATGAAATGTGTGAGATTCTTCCAAAAGAGGTGGGGGTTGACTTGACAATTTCTGTAAGGATGTCTTTGCTGCAAGATATGTCACCTTCTGAAGCAGCATCCTCCATGAGGCGTAACCTGGTGTAGTAGGAGGCCAGCTCTCTTGGTGTTTCCCTCCCTCTTTCTGAGGGACATGCATCTACTGTATTTCTGTGGGGAAATGTAACTTGAACTGTAATAGCAGCTCTTTAAATCTATTTAAATCTACAGTTATATCTATTGCCTGCGACACAGCGGAGCTGTGGAAAGCACATACTGAGAGAAATACATATATAATCTGGAAAGTGTGAAAATCAGAAATATGTAGCTCTCGTGAAGCTACAAGATTCTTTTCACAAGTATTTGAAAGTCTGATATCCAACCTGATCTTTCAGCTACTCGACTCTGATCTGCTTCTAAACCTAAAGGAAGTTTCACAACTGAAAACTGATTTTAGAAGAGAGACTTGAATCGAGAGCTGAATGATTGCTGTTAACAAGGATCTCTAAACCCCAATCTCCAATGTCCTGTCCAACTACTCCCTGAGAGATATTACGACAACAAGAAAACCCTTTACTTTTGAGTTCTTGAAGTCTTTCTAAACTGATGCAGCAGGACTACATGTGCAAAATTTGTGACACATTTTGGATTTCCTATTACGTAATCCCAGTATCAGTGGCAGTGGTCCCATGCTATAAATGAATGCTAGCGTGGAACACACTATTCTGAACAAGTGCCAAACAATTCCTTGGTGATTAGAATGCTGGTCAGAGTGTGGTGGAAGTACCTTAAGAGAAACAGAGTTGCAGTGAACCACATGATGTACTTGGAATAGGAATCCCTCTTATCATAGATTGCTCTTAGTGTTGTTAGCCAAATGTATTCTAAAAACCAGAGATAACACTTGGCTGCCACAGGCTCAGGTTCCACAACTCTTAAATCCTAGATATGGTAGAAATCTGTTTCAGATCTAAAGCTGAAAGAGCAACTTTTTGTTTCCGTACAGACGATAAAACACGAGTTCCTCTTGGAGAAAACAATGGATACATCAACGCAAGCTACATTAGAATGAAAGTTGGAGAAGAGGAACATTTCTATATTATAACCCAGGGGCCTCTGCCTTCCACCATAGCTGATTTCTGGCAAATGGTTTGGGAGAATGAATCCAACGTGATTGCCATGATGACAAAAGAAGTGGAGCTAGGAAAGGCCAAATGTCATCGATACTGGCCTGAGCCTCCACAGGAATCTATAGACATTGCTAACTTCCATCTCAGGCTAGACACTTACCAGATATTAGAGTACTTCATTATTAGAATAATAGAAGTGATCAACAAGCAGGTAAGTTAATATTTTTGTAGGTGAAGAAATTGTTTATGTGAATAAATACTGAGATTATTGTTTGTTTCTTCTGATACATTTAGGTACTTTTTAAAAATGTGAATATCTGAAAAATAGGTGTGGATTTAGGGTAAATGGGATGCTACTTTGCTCATCCAACAAGCAGAGGATCCAATATTGCACACGTTTGGACAAGAAAGTTCAAAATTATTTCTTCAATAGGCACAGAACCAGCGTGCTCAGAATTGTACAGAATTGCTTTTCATTCTTAGCAAATCACATTTTTGATCAGAGCTGCCAGGGTGCACTCCTATTCGGTAATGATGGGTGGAAAGAAAGGGGAGGTAAAGGTAGTTTTCATTCCAGAATGTAGAAAGAATGACACTTCTTTCATTCATGAAAAGACATGAATGCAGCTGAAGCTACAAATTTGCTGACAGCAAATTAAATGCCTAACAAAAACAGAAACTAGTTGCAAGAACATGGCACCTGGAATGTAAAAATTCACAGTAATTTTGGAAGGACAGATTAATTCAAGTAATTCTGATGACATTCTATCCTGTTCCAGACCAACTTTATTCCTTTTCCATCAAGAAAACTATTTTTCTCTATAAAGAAAACATGATAGATCTTAGGTGAGTGCAAAACTCATTTTCAGTAAACAATACTAGAGTGTTCTCTAGTGTGAACACTAGAGTGTTCTGATAAAAATATCTTTTTTTTTAATTCTAACCAACAAATAAGATAACTACAGCCTTATGGGGCAATAAAACCTCAGTATCTCATGCACAATTATATCAAGCACATTTCTCAGACTTCTGGATTCTGAGAGTGCACTTCTGTAAAGCTAGAAAATACTTAAAACACATGTACTTACTGCATCCTGAGCCTAGCCCCCAGAGGTCTAACACTTGGTACACTTGGGCAGCCACTGCCATCTTCTCTCTGCGCACCCATCTTTGCTGGTATTTGCCTTGCAGCTCACAATCTTTCTACAAGTAAGCTCACAAAATAAGAAAGTTTTCTTGACCTTGACATTAATTTGGCTCAATTTCACTGAATGTCCTGGTTTGCAAAGGTCATTTTATTTCCTTAAGTAACCCTGACTGGAACTTTTATCAGGAAGGCTTGAGTCCTAAAAGCTCCTGGAATCTTCTGTGTTGTCTTCAGTTACCTAAATAATGATTTTGCAGAAGAATTAGTGAAGAGACTCAGGTCTTTATGATACAAGTGTACCATAATATGACAACACTACTCCTTTTTTTTTTTAAATTTAGCACTTTTGACGAAAACACTGGAAGCAAAAGCTTCTTCCTCTGTTGTCTGTATTCATTTTTTTTTCAGTTGCCTTTATATACCTGTATTATACTAATATAGTTTCTATTAACTATACATATGCTAATATTTCAGTCAATACACATCCAATCTTTTTCCTCCAGACAGAAGAGAAACGCTGTGTAAGTCATTTGCAGTTTACCACTTGGCCGGACCACGGTACTCCCACACTGGCAGAGCAGCTTGTAAAATTTATTTATTACATGAGAAAAGCTCACAAGACAGGACCTGTTGTAGCTCACTGCAGTGCTGGGATTGGAAGAAGTGGAGTTTTGCTGTGTGTTGAAGTTTTGTTGAGCTATATAGAAAAAGATTTATGTGTAAGTATCAAACAAGTCATTGGTAAGTACTGCAGTATTTTATATACTACAAACTCGGATGTATGTTAACAATACGTGTGGGTAGGACCGGCTTTTGTTGTTTTGAACAACAGAGATGTTAACTAACAATACATTATTTGTAAAAGAACTGAGGAATAGCTTTGCTGTCAGGATATGTTTAAATTCTCCCTTTTAAGCTGGACTTCAATAATATAAAACCTGTTCTCTCTGACAGTTCAACATCAAGCAGATAGTGAGAGATCTGAGACATCAACGTTTTGGCATGATTCAAACTAAGGTAAGTTCTCAATATTCAAGGCAGAGTATGATTTTTAAAAGCCCAATTCATGGTACAGATCTACATGCTTTGATAAACCAGGGGCTTAAAGCATAACTTCAGCCCTCTCACTTGATGAAAACAACAGCTCTACTAGATAGAGTCAAATACAAAAATTCTGGTCCTTCCTAAATAACAGAAATAAAAAACAGAAAACAATCTTTGGTGTAGCTTATAAGCACCTGAAATTTAGTACAAAACAGCAATATTGTACAGGGGCCAACTATACAGGGCCAACTATTTTCTTTTAGGCAAAAAGAAAGGCAAACAGGGCTTTGAACAAAACAGGTAAGATCTCAAACAAACTGCCCTGCAAAATTGCAATCTTCAGTTGAGATCTGAGCTCTGTGCTGAGCTCCTGTCTCAGTAAAACCATCTATTTGACCAAACCTGCCCCCACCGAGAATTCTTATAAAGGAAAAGACAAGGTGATTTTAGCTGAACTTTGAGCAAACAGAAGGTGTGAAGAAAAGCAGGATAAGACTGGGCTAAGCGATACAGAGGCCACTATGTGTTCCCTTTTCTTTATGTAGACCAGTATTCAGGCACATGCTTGGATATATCTTTCTTCAGGGTAATGACTGAACATAGGCCTAAATTTAAGCCTGCAGATAACCTCCTCTGACCTCAGTGAGACTTCAACAGATACTTGATTTCAGAAGAGAGCATTCCTGAATTTTTATGCATGAATAAAATGAATAAGGATGTCTCAGAACAGTAACTGTCTCAGTTATTGTACCCATGTTGCAAAGTTGCTTCTGTTATAAGCAACATTTCAGCCAGTTCATTGTTCTTTGTCTATAATATGTTGAATTTTACTGATTACTTCATGTTGGTGCCTCTGCCTACAGGATCAGTATTTATTCTGTTATCAAGTTGTGCTGAAGGTCCTTCAGAACATTCAAGCCATGGATCCCTAGAGACTGCAGTAAGACTCTTCCCTGTTGCTGTTATTCTTGGACTCCCTGGGATCATTCAACTATCCTACAAAACAATGTTAAGCCAGGACAGACAAGTGTTGTACTACATGCTCTGTAAGATTATTCTGATTTTTAAACCATCTTAAAACTTTGCCCTAGGTAAGTTGTACAAATCTTGGCTCACCATTTGGAGAAACAGCCAGAACTGCAACATGATGTTAAACCACCACGGACAATTCCAGCGTTCTCTGCAATAACACACCAGTTGTTAGGAAGGTATTTTTGGACTGTGATGAAGAGAAAGCAGCCTCTAGAAGCAGTTTTGGTGTTCTAAGAGCAGCAGAAAAGATCTAAAACCTAAAAGATCTAAAAGATCTATAAGATCTATTGGTGTTGGTTGAAGATTGGTTGATCCTTACCTACTCTTGCAAGCTTTTGACTCCCATACTGCAATTCAATGTTCCCTAGTGCAGTTATGCTTTTCTGCAGAAGGACTCCATTTGTGTAGCTCTAGTTGTCTGAACAATATCGAATCATTTCCAGGCATCACTCCAGCACGGGACTTCATACCATCATCACTGGACATCTGAAATCACGAGACTGACAGAAAGCCAGGACACACCAAAACCATAGCTAGTGCTCTTCAGAGCAGCAAGAGAACTCCAGAAATTTGAAGGAATTTTCATTTTCTTCAATGATAGAAACAGCTCTAGACAGTGTTGGTTTCCTTTCATTGGGCGTCCATGAGGAAAGGAATGCAATACTAAACCAGACGAAATAACCATGTACATGGGTGTATTGTGGCACCCATTTACATTTCTTCTTCTCCTGATCATTTCCATTGATTAAATATCTCATAATTCTTATGTAGTACCTGGCCCAGTTTATTGAAATCCCATTCATTTCAGTAGGGGAAGAATCAGATCTTTAAGTCAAAGTAAATAACTATCTGTACATATTATTTTCCTTGTAAAAAGTGGTTCAGTTTGTATTTGAGCAGACAGCTACTGTTTGCCCTTGTGAGGCTGAAACCTGAATTAAACTCTAGAAGGCTCTCTGGTGTTTCTGACAGGGAGGTTCACTGAGGGGTTTCATTTGTCTGAGTTAGTAAGATTGTAACTATTTCTATAGTAGTTCCAATTCCTTTATCTGGAAGGTGATAGATATGGAAATGGTATTGTTAGATATGCACAGAAAGAGGAACTTTTAAACATAGGAAATGATAACAACATTTATTTAACTAAACTGTACATATTTTTAAAACTTCCTTGATTTCAAAAAGGAGAAAATGTTAATAGGCATTTGACTATAAAACTACAGTATTGAAAAAGACAATAAAATGAAATGAGAGATTTATGACTCAGAAAGAATGAGGCATTAAATGCAAATTAAAAGTATGACTTTTAGAAAAAGTCTCTGTAATACAATTATAATTAAGGCCAATGGCTATTCTTGATTTTCTGGCCTCAGATAGTTTGCTGGAAAAAAATGAAATAGGATTAATATGAGCCAGATGCTTAATTTCAATCACACTGATAGAAATCCAGAGTAATTCTGAATCAGTGGAGTAGCACTGGACTTACACTGGTATAAATATAAACAGAATCTAATATTTTGTCTTAAATTAATTGAATTTGAGTCTTCTAGAAATTATTATTCTCTCTATATTATGAATTACTATATTTATGTTACATATAAACGACTATTTGCACAATTTTGTCAAGCATCATCAGCCAATTTTTTGTTCATAACTTTGTTACCTCCACTTGGTATTTGGCCTTTTACTTTGACTTTATTTATTGTACATGTACTACTATGCAAAGTAACACTGCACAGTAATGCACAATTCACTTTTTGTACCACAACAACTTCAAAAAGCTCCTCAGTGAAAATATTCCCAGACTTTATGCAAAGATGCTTTTTTTTCCCTGTAGTTTAGGACAAGAATTTGGATTGGGAAGATATTTCTTGTGGCACTGTTTGTTCCTCCAGATTTGTGCATCGTCTTTGCTGCTGTGTAACAGAAGTGTTTCTTGTTTTACAGGGATATTAAAAAAGATTTCTGAAAAAAAAAAACACTTTGGGTTTCATTTCATTGCTTTGTGTGAAATGGCTGTTGTAATACTTAACCAAACAGCAAGAGCTTTGGGGAAAACTAATCTTTTATTAATAGGGGCCTATATTTAAATTCCCCCGTGGGGGGGAAGTCCTTTATAGACTGGGCCACTGAATTTGAGGTGTAGATAAGCTCAGAACAGACAGAAGACTCTTAAGACTCATTTCAGCATAGCGAATTTCATTGGCAAGGGAATCTGCTTTTTCCAGCTGAAGTATTCTCATGGAGAGATTGAAATGGGTTGTTTCCTCGCAGGAATATGGATAACGGGGTGGCCGCAGGCGCAGATGGGGCACCTCATACATCCCAGATTCCGCAAGCCCGGACTCTGCTGAGCTGTTTTGTACTTGCAAGTTCATATCTGAACCCAAACTAGCATCTCTCACCCATTCATCTCTGAGGGCCTGATACGTGTGCCAGGATCATGCACTCATTGAGCACAATGGGAAAAGTTTAGAAATTTTTGAATTCGTTTTTCTTTCCCCTCAGAAAGATGTTTTTGATGACTGTTCTCTAGTTAACATTCCTTCTACAGGTAGGCATAAGATAAGCAGGTATAAGAAAAGTCTATTTCTGAGGGAGGATGAATGTTTGAATTCTTATATAATGAGGCCCCTGACGGCAGCAATGCTTAGGTACTGCTCATGGCTTTACAGATCTATGTGCATGGTTTCAAGTGAACACACTGTAAGCCTGTGTTCCAGCTGTAGCTCCTTGAGATATATGCTTGCAGGAGTAAGGGGGAAAAAAAAAAGAGTTTTGATGTATGTAAATGAGTATGTAAAAATGAAAGCACCAATTTGAAGCCAGCCTTGGAAAAGAACTTCTTATAAACAGTCACAGCATTATTTCTGAGCCAACTGCTTTTAAAAATGCTGATCAGAAGTGCCTATCAGAGAAGTAATGACTTTGGTGACCAGCTGTATTTATGGGGAAGAAAAGCAGCAGACCTATCTCTAATTCAAGATTCCCTACTTCTTCTAACTAAGAAACAACAAACTTGCTTTATTTCTTGTAATTCTCTGAAAGGTTTTCCAGTGTGCAGCTGTGATGCACAACACACCTGTCACTGCCCACAGGCCTTTGGGTGAAATATCACACTATTTATACTTCTGTTTGGTGGGTTTCTTGTCATCTAAATCCACAAAACTGTTGCTCATAAAAATGTAATTTTATAACTATAGATACCATTTGCTGCATTCATCTTCAGGACTAGAAATTAGACATAATCATTACACTGAGGTGTACAGATGATAAAAAGAACCAGTTTGGGCTTTGATTCATGAGCTCTGATTGATGAAGATAATTACACCTGACACCCTATATGAGGAACTGCAATAACTGGAATATAGGAAGGAAACCCATGTCAGGCACCCTTGCAACAGGGCATATAACCTCCAGTAATGAGGTGCAATCGCCACATTGCTCCAGTGACATCCTAAATCACAGCAGCTGCATCCCCCAGGCCGGGAATGCTGGGGCATTGGCAACAAAGTGTGGCGCGAGGGCGCAAACGGCGCAAACGCAGTAAATGTAAAAGCCGCCCGTATCACGAAGTAACAGCCAGCACACACCACCACCTATGGGCAAGCCGCCAGTGCTGCAATATTAATCACAGGCAGCCACTCGAGCCCTTGGGAGGAAACTGCTCCACTGGCTTGTGCTCAAGTTCTCCCCAGAGTCTTGTGGGACGTGCTGGGCCGGAGGCAGAGCTCTCCCCAGCTCTGCGGGGCCAGGCAAGCGCCTGCCGCTCGTCCTAGCGGTCCTAGAATTAGGAAATATTGTGGCTACCTCAGGAAAGAGCAGATACTACATGGCCAGGACTTTGGCTCTGGCCAGTTCTTGAGCAGAGCCTAACTCGTGCCTAAGCCTCTTCTTCATCTGGGAGCTCGGCTGCTTTTGGAATGATGCATTTTCTCCACTTTCTGAAATCCTACCGGAGTTTTATAAGCACTTTTTTAATTAAACACTGTGATGAGGTGAATCAGCTTAAACATGGATATTTAAACCTTAGCTGGGCATATTTAGTGTGAGATAACACCGTAAGCTCCTTTTTCTTGTTAGGCCACTGATTTGTTTAGTCAGGTGTGATGCAAAGTCATCTGTAGAAGGAAGACTGGAGAAACTGTTGTGTGTCTGTTCCCAGTGAAGGACAACAGTATTTCCAACAGCTGTTAAATCAGCAGAGTTCTGGGATCAACAGGAGGCCTAGTGCTTGCAAAGATGACTGGTTATTATCCTAATAGTATAAAAAATGGATGCCAGACAACATCTCCACCCTGAGGAGAGAGACGGTCTGTGCAGCTTAAGTGGACAGAAGGTGAGAGTTAACTATTAGTTCGATCTTTTAAATGTCCAATAGCTTGTGTGATGGGAAGATACAGGAACTAAAAAGCCATGTATAACAGTAAAGTACTATTTGCCCATAATTTTGCTCTGATGTAGCTCTGTAGGTTTAGAAATAAGTTTGTGAAGTTGGAAGAGTGCACTGGAGTGCCATAAAGGGGTAATTTTTCCCTGCTGCGATCAATGCCTCAGTGCACACCAGAAGAAGGGTAACTCATTCTCTACTCATGCTTCTTCAGACCTGAGAGCATTGAGCAGGTACCACAGAATCACAAAACTAAAACACAGTAGAGGTTGGAAGGCACCTCTGAGGATGGCCCAGTTCAACCTCCTTGCTCAAGCAGGGTCACCCAGAGCAGGTTATTCAGAGCCATGTCCAGTCGGGTTCTGAGTATCTCCAAGGATGGAGACACTACAAGCTCTCTGGGCAACCTGGTTCCAGTATTTGTCCATCTTCATAGAAAAAAGTTCTCTTTATCTCTATATGGAATTTCCTGTACTTCACTTTGCACCAATTGCCTCTTGTCCTTTCACTCTATACTATGAGAAGTATCTGGCT